CACACACACACACACACACACACACACACACACACACACACACGTACTTGTTGCTTGACCATGTTGGTGCGCAGCTCGTTGAGCTCATGCTCATCCTTGGCGATTTCCTCAGCATCAAACTCAAAGTCACGGACAACAAACTTCTTTTCGCGTGCGTTCTGCTTAAAGTCCTCCACAATCTTGCGGAAGACCGTCACCGTGTACAGTCCATACTCTGCATCCTCAGCCACCAGCCTAACTCAATCGTTAAAAAAAAAAAAAAAGACACATGGTCACAAAATTGCAAGAATTAATCAGCTTTGCTGCGTTGGACACCAGCGCGCAAGGGTGTTTATTGAGCTACTCACACAGACGAGCGAGGCACCACAAAGTCGGGCACCATAGATTCATACTGAGACTCCCACTCCTTGAAAAGGTACCTAAGGATAGGGAGCAAGTCGCAAGCAACATGAGAACGTCAGATAATCGGCGCCATGAACCGCCCATGCCGGGCGATGGCTCTCGGAGACAGGGTGCAAATGACCAGGGCTAGGCCTTGATCACATACTTGGGCACTACGACGAGCAGCGTGACCAAGAACTCCGAGTCCCGAACGACATGCTCGGGCTTGACCACGTTGGCCAGGCTCTTGATCAGCAAGCTTCCACTACAGGCGGGCCATGGCATCATAAGCAAGCCAGACGCAGTGACAGAACCGAGCGTCAGCTATCAAGGCACCCTGGCTAGGCTACTAAAACATAATGGAACAGAGTATACAAGCCGCCCAACACACTTTGATTTGCGCTCAATGGCCTGCAAGTTGCCCTTGATCTGTCCGGGTGGAGATGATAAATGGCAAGCAACGATACAACGACGTGAGCCACATTGCGAGCTGAGCCACTGTTCCTTGTGCCAGAGACTTTGACGCCCGGGCGGTGGGCCTTTTCACCTTGTTAAAGCCCTGGGACTTGGTCTTAAGCTTGACCTCAACATCTTGAGTGTCCTAAAGAAGATGTCAGCCAAACGTGGGTCATATCAGCATCGGCCACCACCACGCAGCACCTTCAGCTTTCTGGTCTCATCGGATTTCACCATGCTGGCGCGGCAGCATACCTGGATGATCTGCTGCGCCAGCTCGCGGGGGAGCTGCTTGACGTTGTAGCGCGCCATGTCCCAGCTAAAATGCTCGGTGGCCTCGGGCAGGGAGCGACCATCGACCTGCATCGTGCGTTCCGCATCCGCCTACACGCCGAGCCGCTAGCATCAGTTGGGTTGCAAGGGCACAAGCAAAGAGGGCGCACCGGGCTCGGGTGCTGGTTGCTTTACCGGGGTAGCGGCCAAATCCTTCAGGATGTTGGCCAGCTTGACCGTCACGCTGTGAGCAGCATCAGAGACGACACAGGAGGCCAGCGTTAGCATGGCACAATGGCGCAATGGCGCTCGTTGCACGTGGCCATGCAGTGGCGAGTTGGGGCGTACCTCATGACAAACTGGTCATGCTTGGCGAGATCATCAGAGAGAGCAATGAGCTCACTGAGCGTGCCGACCTGAGAAGCGTCGACGACCGTGTCACAAGAGTTGTCAGCTTTTGAGGCAGCACGCACGCCGGTCCATCGCTTCTTCCGGAAAAAAGAATCGCTCGACGAACCTTCAGGGCGGTGGGAACATCAAAGCCATGATTCTGAGTCAGAGACCGAGACGCGGTTTTGCTGTCCAGGCTCTAGAGCGAGTAAATACAGCAGTTTGCAGACGAGTGAGAGCACTGTATCGAGAACTGTATCGAGCAATGGCTGAAAGCTATGGGCATGCAGTGCTCTGTGGCGGCTGTCCAAAGATAACCGGCATTTGGGGGTTTTTTTTTGCACTCCTGTCTCTTAGGTGTGCACCATGTTTGTCCCTTTAACCTCTCGAGTCCAGTGCACCGGCTGCAAGGCTGTTGTGACCCCTGCTTCCTCGGCTCGCCTCACATTCAAGATAGCGCGCGAATGGCAGCGACACAGACGAGACCACTGAACAAACCTGGCGGTTGAACGCCTTGGTGGGGACGGAGATCAAGACGTAATCCATCTTGACTGGTTGTGACCGCAGGAAAAGGAGAGGAACGCACGCGACAGCTCCTGACTTCCAAGCTCAATGGCGGCGGCGGCGTGTGTTCCAGCGCCAGGTCAAAGACTTTGGAGAATGTCTCTCTCTCTCTCTCTCTCTTTCTCTCTCTCTCTCGTCTCTCTCTCTCTTTTGTCTTGCTCTGTCTGACTTGTCTTTGCACACACCGTCACACAGTTTCGGAGGAAGGTGTGTGTGTGTGTGTGATAGAGTGTGTGCCTCCAAGTCGGTGCGCTTTGTGCCTTTTGTCTCAGCTCGATCCAGCCGAAGTGGTCAAGCGCGTATTGTTTGGACTGGGTTTTTGCAGGCTCCACTCATTCAAAATGGTGCATGCTGACATTTCTCATCGCTCTCCTTGAGCAGTCGCATCACAGCCGTGCCCGTCACACTCTAGCACACTTTCCTCAAACCAGCTCACTACCAACTGTAAACTCGTCCAGCAACGGATTACCAACTGTCATATCATCTTGTGAAAACAAGCCAACCCTACAAAGAGAGAGAGAGAGAAGTAAAGGCCCATAGTTGTGTTGATAAGCAAAGCAAAGTCAGGCAAAAAGGACCACAAAGACAAAGACAAGAGAAGACAAAGGAAGAGGGTGCTTCACAAAAAACAAGCGGTTTGGTGGTCATTCCCCTCAAGCTCTGCCGTTCAACACGATACATCAGGTGTTCGGGGGAGCTCAAGCACAGGCCGTGGCGCGCATCCTTGGGTGTTGTGGCGTTTGGAAGACTTTGGCGTTGCCTGGTTGCACGCTTGAGCGTGCCCACGCCCCTGACGTGTGCAGGACAAACGATATCGCCCAGAGAAGGCAACGCAAAGCGCCCAGCTTGTGTGTGTCAAGGGCCCAGTCGGGCGGTGGGCCCTTTTCTGACCCTCTCGAGGTGAGTCGACCTGCGCTTGACTTTGGTTTGCATGCACTACTGCTCGTCGATCCACAGGCATCAAGGGTCAGGACCGACTCACTGCCCATGCCATCGCTTGGCGAAATCTGACCCTCTGCGTGTGTCTGTTTTTGTGTGCTCTGCCCAGGCCTCAAGCTCGCCTAGAGCCTCGCCCTTTTGCCCTCGACCTTCGGATGCAACGGTTTGGTGAGTGGCCTCACCGCTAGTTTGGGCATCTGCTTGATGCTGAGTGTGGCAAAGGGCATCAACTAGCTGAACATGTCACACAATCGGTTGCCTTCTGGTCCCTCATTCGTTACTCGCTGTGGATGGTTTGGGAAACTAGCGTGCCTCGCACCATGGCCACCAACTCACGCTTCGGCGTCAGCCTTGGCATGGCGTTGTTGATCTCAGCCCTGCTTCTTCTGACTCTCGGTACCCAAGGTGAGGTATCAGAATTGGCTCGAGGCGTGCTGCCGGCTACTGTTGCATGCGATCAAGCCTGTTGTTGATCATCCTTGAGCAGTGACAGGCTCATTTTTTTTATTTGTGACTTCTTGGGGCACCTTGGTTGATAGGCACAACAGCCACAGGCGCCGAGTGCACGGCTTGTTCTACCGCTTGCGCCGCGGGGCATTTTCTAGACGGATCTTGCACCTCTGATTCAGATTATAACTGTACTTTATGTAGTACTTGTCTCGCTGGAACCTTTGAAGCGCGGGCATGCTCCGTCAATGCTGACACCGTTTGTCAGCCTTGTCGCACGTGTGCCGCTGGCTTGTTTGCAGCAACCGCCTGTACTAGCACAACGGACACCATTTGCCAGGCGTGTACGCCCTGCCCTACCACCCACTATGAGAGCAGTGCGTGCACCAGCTCTAGCGATCGCGTGTGCTCGTTATGTGACTCTTGTGCTGCCAATACCTTCCGCTCGGCACCATGCACACGACAAAGCAATACGCAGTGCACGCCCTGCACCGCTTGCACGACCGGCCAATACATGGCACGCAATTGCACCCCACACGCCGATGCTATGTGTGCCACCTGCGCATCCTGTCCGGCCCACCACTACGAGCATGCTGCCTGCACCGCAAACGCCAACACGGACTGTCGCGCTTGCAGCCGTTGCCCAGCCGGCCAGTATCAAGCCAGCGCCTGTACGGCTGATAGTGACACCGTGTGCACAACGTGTACAGTTTGTGCATCGTATGAGTTTGTCATTTCGCCATGCACGGCGGAACACGACACAATCTGCGGGTTTGGCTCTCCGGATGTGGCTACCTCTCTTCAGATTCAGATTGGCAGCTCTGATCTTTTGGCACTTCAAAGTGCTGGCTTTGCCGCGCAATCGTCTGACCTCTATCTTGCGCCTGATTTGGCTTTGGTGGACAGCTATGGCAACGGGCTTGCAACAGCCTCAGAGTATGTGCGCATTGCGGACATTGGCACAGACACTTTGTCTCCTGAGTTGCAAACCTTCTCTGCAGATCTGAACGCCAACTTTCTACGTTTATCCTTCAGCGAGGCTGTCAATGTTTCTTCTTTCAACACCTCGGCCTTGTCATTGTCCGCCACTGGCCTTGTGCCCGAGCTCAGTCTCCGTGACACAAGTGCCGTTGTTGCTCTGGCACAAAATCAAGTGATGCAGGTCAATCTTTCCGAGACGCAGGTGGATGCCATCAAATCCTCCCTGCTGCTAGGTCGCAATCGCACGACCCTATATTTGCACGTTGCGGCAAATTTGGTTTACGACTTTGCCGGCAACGTTCTGACAACACCTGCTCACTCACTTTTGCCGACCACTTTTCAGCCCGATCTCACCATTCCCGAGCCCGTCCTTGCTGCTTTCAACCTCAGCTTGGGCCACCTCAGCATCACTTTTGATGAAGTGGTGAGCACAACACTGTTGCTTCCCACGGCGCTCTACTGTGATGGTGTTCAGCTGGGCGAGATCACGGCTGCAGCCAGCACCGCCACACTTCCTCGGTCACGCACCATGGACTTTGTTCTTGGCAGCTCGACACTCAATTCCATCAAGGCCAACAACGCATACGTGCCCGATGGTACATTTGTATTGAGGTTTCCCGCCGGTGCTGCAAGCGATCGTGATGGTAACCACATGTTACCCGTCAACGTCACGGCCTCGACAGCCCCTGATGTAGTGTCTCCTACTCTCACGTGGGCAGCAATCAACTTTGACAGCAACCTTCTGCAGGTGGAGTTTGATGAGCCCATCGTTACACGCTATGCCATTCCAAATCGTGTACATATCAACGATGGCCAAGGCACCAGCTTTAACATGTCCGGCGCCAACCTCCTGGTATCGAAAAGCCAGTTGGCTACCCTGTACTTGCCCAACACCCTTATCGAGGCCATGAAGCAGGAAGATGGGTTTGCGACCAATGCCACAGGCTTGCTGCTGGCCCTTGACCCCGGAGCCTTCCTCGACACGTCCAACAACAGCAATAGCGCTGTGGCTGGTTTCCCCTTGGCAAACTATACGGCCGATGCGGTGCAACCAGCACCCGTCACTGCAGTCCTTGACATGAATCTAGGCCAGCTCACCCTCACCTTCAACGAGTCTATCCAGACAAACTCCATCAATGCTTCTGCCGTACAGCTCTATGATCAGATTACGGCAGGACGAGTTGTTCCACTGCATGAAGCAAGCATTCTCGTTGATGCCGTCTTGATCTCAAACCCCGCGGTCGCCTCCACAGCTACTGTGGTGGTGCTGGAATTAAGCAGCACAGAGCTCAACCAGGCCAAGCAGTTTCAGTACAATGCATCTTATCTGGCAGTGCAGGTGGACACGGCCTTTGCTGTTGACGTATTTGGGAATCCGACACTTGCACAAAACTTGCCGTTGACCGGGTTTGTCGCCGACAGTACTAGTCCGACCCTGGAGCAGCTCACTGTGGACCTCAATGCTAGTACAATTACGCTGCAACTGAGCGAAGCAGTCGACGTTGGCTCTTTCAACTTGTCAGCCTTGTTGTTTATGGGCATTAATGACACCACGTTTCGTTTTCCAACCCTGACGCCCGAGAGCTCTGCCACCTCGGCGATTGACACTGTTTTTGTCTTTGCCATTCCCGAGGCTACGGCCACAGCCATCAAGAGCAGTGACGCATTGTTTGTCCAGCAAAACGATACGTGGGCCCTGAATGCTACCTCCTCTTTGGTCGTCGATTACAGCGATAATTCTCTCAGCTTTCTGCCCGCCCCCCTTAGCGTCAGCCTGATCACGGACCAGCGCCAACCATTGCTTGTGGCCTATAGCTTGAATATGACCAATGGCGCCCCGCCCATCAGCATTACACTTACTTTTAACGAGCCAGTCCTACTGGACAGCAGCAACTGGAGTCTAGCAACCTTGGCGTCGGCAGAGGCCGGGAATCCCGCCGCGGAGACCCTGTCCTTGGCAGATACAGTGCTGGTCTCGAGCAGCAAGTATGCCGCAGTGGTGACAGCTACTTTGAGCGAGGCAACATGGGTCCGCTTGACGGACTATGACAACACCATTCTTGTATCTGCGGCCACCTCGTACCTCAATTTGCACGAGGGTTTCGTCCAAGACTCCAGCGGTCAGGCCTCTGCTACAGTGGCGAACCAGCTTCCTGCTTCATATGAGCTGGACTTGATTCATCCAGAGGCTCTGGATGCCCTCCTTGACATGTCGGCGCTAGAACTATCGCTCACCTTCTCCGAGCCCGTCATCTTAGCTTCGCTCAATGCCTCCCGCCTCATTGTGCGTAGTGCAGATGCTAATGTCAGCTTGGCAGGGTCTTCCGTTGTGGCCGGAGGCGCGCTTGCGGCCACCTCATTGACTCTGGAGCTGGCCAGTTTGGCCGCTGAGCAGCTCAAGGCGTCGGGCAACTTTGGCACAGCTGTTGTTGATGCCAGTGTTGTGTTGCTCGCAGGTTCAGTCACTGACGAGGCTGAAAACCCAGCACGAGTCGCCCAACTCCCGCTGACAAGCATTGTTCCCGACACCACACGACCAACTATCGACTCAATCTCACTCAACATGAGTAGCGGTGTGGTACAAATTCGCTTCAGCGAGCCCGTGAATGCCAGCTCAGTGGATCTCGCACGCCTCTTTTTGGAGGCCTCGGCTAATGCTGCTACGTCGTTGCGCCTGCAAGACCCCAGCGCCATCATATCTGTCTTGGACCGCCGCGACCTTGTCATCGCGTTTTCGAACACCCAAGCCAATGAGATTCGAGCGCAGGCGGGTCTAGCTCGCGATCAAGCCTCATCCTACTTTCGCTTTAGCGAAGCCTTTGTGAAGGACATGTCCGGCAACCCGTTGGGCGCTCAAACGCTTGAGGTGACGGTGTATCACCCCGATATTATCCCCCCGTATCTGGTGAGCTTTGAAGTGGACATGTCAGATGAAGCCATTAGCCTGACCTTTTCTGAACCCGTCAATGCCAGCACCTTTGAGCTGGTGACAATGGTAATAGTGAACCGTTATGCCAACGTCAGCACGAACCTTTCGCAAGCCACCGTGACCGCTGCCACAACTTTGGCCTCCTCTGTTACTTTGACCATGAGTGCCGCGCTTGCCGATGATCTGAAGCGCCAGGATCTGTGCTCAGGGACCATCCAGGATTGCTTCCTCAACTTGGATGCTGGCTATGTCACAGGTGCTGATGCCATCGCTGCGCGTGCTGATGCCTTGCAAGCCACCTCCGTCGTAGCCGATGATCAGGGGCCATCGCTAGCCTACCACGGGTTTTCAATTTACAACGCTGACACAGCTCAGCTCACCATGCTGTTTGACGAGAGCATTAGCCTGTCCTCGCTCAACTTTTCTGGATTCTCCTTGCGCAGCGTTTTTGATGAAGCCACACCAGCCATCTCTCTCAGTGGTGCGGTGGCCCTGACAGCTACGGATGGGCCTCAAATTGTGATTCAACTTGCCAACGACACGATCGATGCCCTGCAGCGTGAGGACGCTATTTGTACCATTCGAAGCAATTGCTATCTATACCTGAGCGCAGGCGCCGTGCAAGATCGTGCCGGCAATCCCTCGCTTGCCGTGGATGAGAACGACGCATCTACCTTGGTGCGCACTTTTGTGCGCGATACGACAGCGCCCTACATTGTCAGCTATGCCTTCAACATGTCTAGCGGCGAGCTGTCTTTATCCTATTCTGAAATCGTCGATGGAAGCTTAGTCCTTGCCTCTTTATCTCTACAGGGCCGCCCGGATGCAGTTTCCAGTGAGATTGTGACCCTGGCCGGTGGCGCCGTCTCCGGCCGGAACGAGCGCACCATGACTGTGGACCTCTTGACGAGCGATGTCCGTGCGCTCAAGCTGCGCTTGATTGGCACGAGCGCCGCAACGCTCTTTCTCAACGTGGAAGCAGGTGCAGCACGCGATAAGGCCATTCCACAAAACCCTTCGGCTGCCACGGTAAAGCTGCCAGTCAGCGACTATTATGCAGACACCATTGCACCCTCTCTGGCTTCCTTCTCCGTCAATCTGAACCAGCGTCTCTTGACGTTGGTGTTTGCCGAGCCCGTACTGCTCAACACTTTTAATGCCGAAGGCAACGCCTCGATTGTGTTGCAGAGCATGGCCAACGAGAGCACCGAGTCGGTGTCGCTAACCACAACATTGGACGAGGGTCAGGACAACGTCTCGGCCACAGTGGTTTTGGTCATGACAGCACAGAACGTCTTGAGCATTAAAGCCGAGGCAAACCTTGGAACGTCGACCTCCAACACCTTTTTGAGCATCAACGGTTGGATCTTGACGGATACGTCCGGGAACTTCAATGCACCCATTCCGAACAACGAGGCCATTGCTGCCAGCGAGCTGCTTCAAGACGCAACCCGTGTCGAGCTGGTGTCTTTTGACCTTGACTTTGCACTGCGCACTGTCACTCTACGTTTTTCGGACCCCGTCAGAGCCTCTACTTTCCGGGCACGGGCCGTCAGCTTCGTCTCGGGCGCTGTGGATCCTGCTTCTGTGGCGCTTTCCACAAGCACCTGCAGCAGCCCGGACGGATTTGTGCTCGTCATCGACTTGAGTCCCGCGGACATGGCTGTTTTGTTAGACAAGGACAATTTTGGCGACAACACCAGCAATACGTTTTTAGTCATGTCCGCGACCGCGTTTGACGACGTCAACGGCTTTGACGTCATTGCTGTGACCGAAGACGCGCCCATGCAGGCGTCCAGCGTTGTGCTGGATACAACGGCCCCTACAGTCGTGAGTGTGACTATCGATCTGGGTGCTGGCTCTTTGGCCGTCAATTTCTCTGAGCCCATGCTCCAAGCCCTAAATGCGACTGGGGTCGCCCTCACAACCAACGCATCCATGCCTGCCTTGCTTTCGCAAGAGCTGCAATTGTACCCTGGTTCTTCAAGCGTACAGTGGTCCAGCGACAACACGTCAGTTGTCCTCAGTTTAGCGCAAGCTGATGCAGGGTGGCTGAAGCGGGCCCAGGTGGCATCGGGCACCTTTAATGCAAGCTTCCCTTCTTTGCTGGGACGTGATCGATCTGGCATTGGCAGTGAAGCTTCTATCGTGGTCATCACTTCGGTGGTTTTGGATACTCAAGGGCCCACGGTATTGAGCTATGTGCTGAACATGAATAATGGCTCACTCACGCTTTACTTTGACGAGCCTGTCTTGGTGGCTTCCCTCAACACGTCTTATCTGGCTGCCGCTCCCTCGGGCAGTGCCCTTGATATTTTGAGTCAGGGCGTGGCTTTGCGCCAACATAGTGCCGCAGAGGCGGGGTCCGATGGCTTGACGGTAACGCTGTCTGTCGAAGAACGCGCCAATCTTCTGCTCGCTGGTGTTGGTGCCTCGGCGGCAAACACGTCCTTTGCCACCGAGGCTGGTCTCGTCATGGATCTCTTTGGTAATGCTTTGGCCACGGCGGCAGTGTTGCCCAATCTCACGCTGTTTGCCGATGAAGAAGCACCGCTTCTCGTAACGTTCACTCTCAACATGGACGACCATACTGTGGTGCTGGAGTTTAGCGAGACCTTGGCCGCACCGGTGGAACTCGATCGTCTGACGCTGCATAACCCCGACCGCTCCTTTGAGTTTTCACTTGAAAACCAAACTGCTACCGCTCCCACCGGCGTCACCCTTAGAGTAAATCTCCATGCAAATGCCCAGAATGCCATCAACTTGGCGACAGATTTTGGCGCCACTCTCTCAGCCACCCTCATCTCTGTCGATGCTGGTGCGGTGCAAGACCTCTCCGGAGTGGCAATCAACGTCCTGGCCAATCGCAGTGCCGACTTCATCGTGGCTGATGCTACCGCACCCGCGGTGCTCTCAGTTGTGCTCGACCTCACCGCACATGAACTGATTTACAGCTTTGACGAGATCATCAATGTCAGCTCCGTCGTGGCAACCGCCGTCACAATGACCATCAACAACACGGCGGTGCTTGCGGTGACCGGTGCCGCAGCCACTCCCCCCACACGCGCATCAAGCGTTACCTTTGGCTTGGCTCCTGAGGCCTATCGACAAGTGCTGCTCTCGTTGAACGGAGAAAGTACGATTGCAGCTTCGATCGACATTGAGGTTAACTTTGCGCGAGACGTTTGGGGCAACGGCGTGGTAGCTTCAGAGTCCAACGTGACAATTCAGGCAGACCTCGAACGCCCAACCATCACCAGTGCCTCATTGAACCTTACCACCGAGCTTGTGACCATCATCTTGTCTGAACCGGTGCAAGAGGATCTTGTCAACGTGACAGGCCTCACCCTGTGCAGCGACATCAACTGCAGCGAACAAATTGCTCTCACCCCTTCCATGGTGAGCTCCACCACGGTCGTTGGGGATGCCAGCAACGTCGTGCAAATTGGCATGAGTTCGCTGCTCATTGACAGCATTCAGGCCTCACCCGTCCTTGGCACTACCGTCAATAACACCTTTTTCCGTGCCGAGGCTGCTACGGTGGTGGACTTGGCTGGAAACCCTCTCTCCGCCAATGTTTTGCAAGCCTCCTCCGTCTTTGGAGATACCATCCCGCCAGTGTTCACTTCAATCTCCGTTAACATGACTGCCCTCACCATTTCCGTGAGCTTTGAGGAGTACGTCAACGGCGATGCCCTCAATATGTCGTTGCTGTTGCTTCACAACGGCAGTGACCTGGTGCCCGTGACGGGTGCATCCATTGCGCTTGGCCTGACCAAGACGGCCGTCGTGCAGCTCGACGAGACATTTGCCCATCAGATTCTATCCGAAGCCAACTTGTTGATCAGTTTGGTCACTTCCGTCTTTACCTTGCAAGCTGGCTTTGTGCAAGACGCCTTTGCCAATCCAAACGACGAGCAGGCTGGAGTTCAGGCCGCTGCTTACACCGCTGATTTGCGCCGCCCCTGGCTTGAATATCTGAGTCTGAACTTGGACGCAGGCAGCATGACACTGGTCGTGTCTGAGCCCTTTCATCTGGCTTCAGTCAACATGTCGCGTCTACACCTTGCCGGCATGGACGCATTGACGGCCGCCAGCATTGACGTGTTTAATCTGACGACCGTCACCATCTCTCTCGATGAGCCTACCTTGCATGATCTGAAGAAACTCGAAAACGTCACAACTGGGTCTCCGGCCCTAGCTTTTGAATTTGACGAGGCCTTCTTGACCGACGTTGCAGGCAATGTAATGCTAGCAGACACCCTGTCCCTTAATCAGTTTGTGGCTGATAGCACGGGACCTTTGTTGGAGGTCATGGCTTTGAACATGAATATTGGGCAAATGTCCCTGACTTTTAACGAGCCCGTAAATCCGGTCTCAATCGACCTGGCGCAGCTGACCTTTTTGGGTTTAGCAGGCGTGAGAGAAGAGCTGGATGCCAGCAGCGCCACCATTGTCACAGTCACCAATCCCTTGGAAATCAAGCTGAATCTGACCAGCACACTTCTCAATGAGCTTCGGCTCAAGTATCTTGCGCGAGATGCCACCACCTCACTCCTCAATGTGAAGGCTGGTTTTGTGGATGACACGACGGGCAATCCACTGTCCTCAGACGTCAACATCACGGCATCGGTCTTCGTCGCCGATGCCACGGCACCCACAATTACTAGCTACAGTCTAGATCTGACGGACGATGTCCTTTTACTTACCTTTAGTGAGGTTGTCAACACTACCACATTCAATCGCACGGCCCTGTCCTTGTTGGACACTGACGACAGTCTACTTTCCTTGGCGCTCACCCTCGTGGCGCCCGAGATCGTGCTCAGCCAAGTGATTGAGGCTGACTTAAGTCAAATCTCTGCCAATCGCGTGAAGGAGGCTGTTGGTGCGGCCATAAGCCTCAACACCACGCGCTTGGTTGCCAGCGATGCCTTTGTTCAAGACACTGCTGGCAATCCGGCAGTGGCAATCACAGTGGCATCTGCGCTTGAGGCAGACGTGCTGGTGGATGACAATCGCTCAGCAACCATTCTCAATGTTGAACTCAACTTGAACGCTGGTACGCTGAGCATTAGCTTCTCTGAGTCCATTGACTTGGCATCGAGTGACATCTCCCGAATCAGCGCGGTTGGCAGTGACTCTGCCGTTGTGATTCTTGCTTCGTCATTTCTCAATTTGAGTGCCAGTGTCAACGATCTAATCGTCGTACAGCTGAGCAATGACGACCTGAACGAGCTCAAATCACTGGCAGGCCTGGCCTTTAACGGAGACCAAGCTACCCTTGTGGTGGCCCGGGGCTTGGTGGTGGATTGGAACGGCATCAGCTCAGCTGCATCAAATACGTCGCTGACGGCCTACGTTCCCGATGTATCAGCACCTCGCGTTGTAGCGGCCAGTTTGCTGGTACATCAGCGCGAGCTGGTCTTAGAGATGGATGAGGTCTTGTCGCTCCCAAGCGTGGTCCCAGCCAGTATCCGCATCATGGACGGCGCCACACCCGTCGCCCTGCCCCCTTCCTCCGTTCCTACGGTGGAAAACCAGAGCGTCCTCGTTTTCCCGCTGGATAATGCCACCATTGAAAGCCTCAAGAGTATCGCAAGGCTGGAGGAAACGCCTTATCCGGTTCAGCTGAGCTTGTTAGCTGGTGCTGTTACCGATATGGCAGGCAATGACGTAAGCACGACGCTGAAGGATTTTGAGCTGGTCGTGGCTGATCAAGATCAAGCTGTGGCCACGGGCTTCAACTTCACGCAAAATGCCGGCGGAACCATGTCAATCGTGTTTTCAGAGCCCATCAATGCAACCACAGCCAACGCTAGTCGTGCAATTTTACTCGATGCTCGTGCCCAAACGTTCTCGCTTCGGTTGCGCGAGGCTCAGTATATTGAGGCCGAGGGTTTGTATCAGGTGATGTTCATTGTGAGTTCAGCTGACAGCAACAACATCAAGGCAGCTCCCTTGTGCACTGCAGCAAGCGACTGTTTCTTGAGCTTGGAGGAAGGCTTCATTTTGGACTTGAATGGGGATCCCTCGGCCGCAGTGTCTGCCGCCAACGCCCTTCAAACCCAGGTGTTTCAGGCCGATGAGGATGGACCCGTGCTGCAGCAGTTTGCAAGCCTAAACCTCTCCACCGGTGTTCTTGTGCTCAGCTTCAATGAGCCCGTTGCACCGCAGTCCGTCAACTTCTCGCGCAGCCGCCTTGAAAGTTCCCTCCTGGTCAGCAGTGGCAACGACGTGGTTATTCTTCAAGCCGTGCTGGCATCGAACGAGCCCGTCTTGGAGTTGCGTGCAACCCTAACCACGGCAACACTCAATGCCATCAAAATCACACGCGGCCGTCTTTGTGGCTCTACTGGTACATGCTTTTTACGTTTGGATGCCGGGTTTGTCACAGACACGGCAGGCAACGCGGTTGCGGGCACGAGCACCGACGATTTGGACCGATTCAACCGTCGCACGCAAGATCAGCCATCCACGCTGGCTCTGGATCAGGCCGGACCGGTGTTGCAAAGTTTCTCATTGAACATGGACACTCGCGTGCTGACCTTGATCTTTGATGAGCCCCTGGACGCTTCCACGTTGGCCCCGACGGGCTTGGTCGTCGTGCAAAACAACAATGAAACTGCGGAAGTGCCGCTGAGCGGTTCAGCTAGCACCACAGTGTCAGGATCGTACCTGCGAACGGTTTCCATCACTATATCTACAGCTGATCTGATTAGCATCAAGGCTGATCAGGACTTGGCCACAAGTGCAGCTAACACGCGACTGGCCCTTTTGTCTGGTGTGATTAGCGATTTGAGCGCCAACCCCAACGTTGCTACTGCCACACCATTGAGCCCAACAACCTTTACCCCTGACTCCGTTGCTCCCACAACGTTTACCTTTTCCTCCATCGACCTCAACGAGGGTCTCTTCATTCTCACGTTTGCTGAGCCTGTGGATAATGCCAGTCTGGCCTGTGACCGGGTCTTCCTTGCCAACAGCGCAAGCACCATCGTTTACAACTTAACCCAGTGTTCTTCACAGGAGTCTGGAAGTCAGCGCCTGGTGTTGACGCTGCACCTTTCTGAGGCGGATCTTGAAGCAATTAACCGCCAAAGTGGTCTTGGCACAGCACGCAGCGATAGCTATCTTGGACTTCGAGCCGGGGCTATCGCCGATACCCAAGGCAATGCCATCTTCGCCATAGCACCAATTCAGGCCTCGACTTTTGTGGCTCTGCTGCCGGCAGAGTTGGAAGCTTACACGCTTGACTTGAATCTGGGACAGCTTGTTTTAACCTTTTCCATGGCAATGGATGAAAGCACTCTGGTGCCAGCCCAGATGCAGCTGCAAAATAATCGCAGTGAAGCAGCTGCGTCACTCGTGGTTGTCCTCGGTTCATCCGCCTCAGTGGTTTCCAATGAGGGCACCGTGTTGACCATTGGGCTAACGCAAGCAAACCTGGATATCTTGCGTGCCACAGCAGATGGTCTGCTAGCAGCCCCACTTGGAGCCGCCACCAGCAACACCTATTTGGCCATGACATCAGAAGCCATCAAAGATGTCCGTGCCCAGGCCGTCTTGTCCGTTTTGAGGACAAATGCGCAACAAGCAGCGGCGGTGGTTGTCGATGCTACCATACCCGAGCTGGAAAGCTTCAACATGTCCATGAATGCCGGGACACTCAATCTGGTCTTTTCTGAGCCATTGCTTCCCAACCTTATCAACGTGACAGCATGTCAGCTTGTGGGTTTGGACAATGTTTCGGTAGCGCTGGCTGCCGACGCCGTCGATGTCACTGCATACACCCATCCAATCCTGCAGAATGCGGCGCGGCGCTTTTGGGTGACATTAAGTGCCCCCGTCCTTCGTAGCCTGAAGCTAGCGCTCGGGGTGGCTCGCAATGCCAGCACTGCCAAAATTCAGTGCGCCGCTGAGTTGGGGACGGATGTTCAGCTCGTGCCCTCGGCACCTGTTGCTCTTCTCGAGCCCACCGGCTTTGAAAGTGACTTGACGGCACCTGTAGTTACAAGCGTGGAGTTGGATTTGACGCGAGGTCAGGTTACAGTTGCCTTTGATGAGCCTGTGCGTATAGGAAACGCGACCGGTCTTGCTTTGGCCGCCTCATCAGGAGGAGCTGCCGTGCCGCTGAGTTTTTCAGGAGCTCAAGTCGAGCTCGACACCGTTGCTGTTTTAAATTTGACCACTAGCGCCCTGAATGATTTGAAGGCACGATCAGACTTGGCCACTCGAGCCAACAACTCGTGGTTTCAGCTCCCCGCAGGCCTTGTTGAAGACTTGTTCTTCAACCCTTCACTTGTGGAGGAGCGCATGGCAGACGTGGTCGTCAGCGACAGTCAGGCACCTGAGCCGACACACGTGCATATTAATGGAGACACAGGAACTCTTGCTGTTTATTTTGACGAGCCTGTGATGCCGGGCCTTCAGCAAGATTTGATTCTGGGCATCAATGGAACAAACATCACGCTTGACGCGGGCAGTGCCGTCATCACACAAGACACCCCAACCGTAATTCAGTTTGATATGGCCACTTCAGCGCGCAACACGGCCATGATTGCCTCCAACGGTCAACTTGCCTCTGTGGCGCTCTCTCTGATAGTACCCGCGGACAGCGTGCTCGACACCACAGGCAACGGCAATCAAGCAAAGACTTTGACGGATGCTGCTGTAGTCGTTGTCTCTGAGGATGTAAGCGCTCCATATCCAACAAGCTTTGTACTGGACCTGTTCCGAGGCACCTTGGATCTAGCTTTGAGTGAGCCCATCCGAAGCAGCTCTGTACAACTCTCCCTTTTGGGCCTGACCGACAATACCACTTACGTCATGTTCACGGGCTCCTCAACATATAGCGGCACCACGCAGCACGTCCACGTCGATTTGGCTGCTGTCGATCTGGATGCCATCAAGGCAAACCTGCCTGTTCTCCTTATGGACAACACGACCACGCTATTTATCCAAACGGGAGCTTTTGCTGATCTTGCAGGCAATCTCATCAGCAACACTTCCATCCTTAGCTCTTTTGTGAATCTGGACACAAATGCTCCAAGCCTGGACTCATTCACTCTGGTCATGGACACAGGCGTGCTCACTCTTGTTTTCAATGAGACGGTCAACGCGTCATCTCTTCAAGTTGCTCAATTGGCCCTTCAATCTAGCTTTGCTGCTGGCCCTACACTTCCCATCTCTGCTTCTATCCTTACTAGCGTGCCGGATCGTGAGGTCTCGCTTCAACTGACACCCGAGTACATGAACAAACTCAAGAACGCGGGCATCATTTCCGTCAGTGCGTGTTGGCTCGTGGCTGAGGCTGGGGCTGTACGTGATATGTCAGCTCGCCCCGCACTTCCTCTTTTGAGCGGCTTGACGGCCAAGCAAGCCGCCGCTGTCACACCTGACTCTGTTGGCCCAATCATTATTTCCTTCAATGTCTCGCTGGACACTGGTCTTTTGTATCTTGAATTCAACGAGCCCGTTGACACAAGCACTTTTGATTTGACGGCAGCTTCGCTGAGTGAGGTGCAGAATCGCACTGCTTACTCGGGGGTGAACACCGTGACTGCCATGGTTGGCAGCACGCCTGTCACAGTCTATGAACCGTACGAAAACTTTACACGCTTGGGCTTGACTCGCTCCGCCGTTCAAAGTCGGGCATTTGTTACTGTGCTAATTGACACAGCCACTTTGGATTTGTTTGAGATGCGCAAAGCCACTGACTTTGCCCTCAACACGACGACAGCCTATTTCTTTGCCAATTCGAGCTTTGTTCGTGACCTGAGTGGAAACCTGCTTCAGGCCACGAGTGATCAGGCTGGTGTTGCCCCGTCCGCCGTGGAGGCTGACTCTTCATCACCTTTGGTGACATCTTATACTTTGAACCACACCGCAAACGCAATCAGCCTGATTGTGCTATTTGATGAACCAGTGGCTTCTTTGAACGAATCTCTAATCCGACTGGGCAACAGCACTTATCGCCCCCCTGTGCTGCCAAGTGCGCTTGCGTTGAGCGCTGATGGCCTATCCCTGACCATAAATCTTGATCGCAATGCCACAAACATGCTCAAGGCAGCCCAGCTTCTGCAAGGCCAGGACACAAGTGCGTTAGACTTGTTCGACGTGGCAGATTATCGCGGCAACACCATCGGCAACAACGCCTTGCCGTTTACGCCTTCCGTCTTTGTCAGTGACACCGTTGCACCGAGCTTGCTAGAGGCAGGTTTGAACCTGAATCTGCTGACGCTGCGGCTGACGTTTGACGAACCTTTACGGGCTGGTGTGGTGCCTGCATCAATCTCAATCGGTAACGGCACCTTCAGCATTGACCTGCCCAGCGATACGACTGTGCAGCGCTTTGAAAATGTTGTTCAACTTTCTTTGACCAGTGCAACTGCGTTCACGCTACGATCGCTCGATAACTTTGCCGACTCTGGTGCAACGAGCTTGCTCACCTTTACCAGCTTGCTTGGTGCAGACATGTTTGGTAATCCCGTCACCGCGGTCACTGACTTTGAGCCTGCCTTCCAGAGTGACACCACTGGCCCCAGTTTTACTACAGTGAGCCTGAATCTCACCTCAGGGCTTCTTGTCATTGAGTTTGACGAGCCTCTGCAGAGCTCTGTCAATTTGTCAGCACTTTCTCTCGATAGCTCATATTGGTCGCTGCAAGGGCTGCCCAGCACAGCCTCGGCGCCTGCCTTGAGTGGCGAGGTCATCGACTTCACGTCGGTGCAACTTGAACTGGAAGCGAGTGTTCTCGACCGCCTGAAGGTTCTACAACAATCCCGCATTGAGAATGGTGAACTGCGCTTGAAGGTGACATCTCGATTTGTTCGCGACACTGGAGGCACTTCCAATGACGCTGCACAAACCACCAGCTTTTCGGTGTATGGCGATACCTTGCCTCCGGTGATTGTGAGCTCAGTCCTCGATTTGAATAATTCTCAGCTGGTACTGAATATGAGTGAAGTGACACAAGTCGATTCCCTAGAAGCCAGCAAGATTTCTCTCAAACACCCTTCCACAGGCAGCACGGTACCCCTGAGCTCAGCAACTTGGACCCGTGGATCACAACAGCACATTCTGCAGGGCTCTTTACCTCAGTCTTTGATCAACGAGCTGATGCTTGCTTTTGAGGACCAAGTGCCAAGCATCAATGCGCTCTTGGTGGTGGCGGTTGCTGCTGTTGAAGATTTTGCAGCCAACGACAACGCAGCGACTGAGATTGCTGTGTCAAACGTGGTGGCTGACGAGCGAGCTCCTGTTTTGGAGAGCTTTACGCTGAACATGAATCTTGGCATTCTTGACCTCACTTTCAATGAGATTATGGACCTTGCTTCGCTCCAACGCACGCTGTTTGAGATTGTGAATGCAGCAGGAGAAAGCGATAGCCTTTTTGCGCCATAAATGACTGCGACAGCTTGCGCTGTCTGTTGAGAAAACACGTGATCGTTTTCTTGTTTTGTTTCTTCTTTCTATCAACAGCCTTTTCTGACCCGCAAACCACGGTTGTGACGGACAAAAATAATCGTCTTGCCTTTGGCTATGTGCAATAAGTAAATGCCTGAGCCAATTGACATCTAAATTTTTGTGCCATCTGGATGGAGAATGTAAAGACGGGACGGGGGACAGGCACACAGAGCAGGTACACGAGAGTGTCGTCAATAATTCAAAGGTTTGTTTATGCACAAACAACGCTACGCTGTTTGTACGTTTTGTTCGTTCATAAGCCGCAACAAGCTTGATCAGTTTGATCCGTTGCTGTGCTGTGTTTGAAGAGAAGTGTGTTCAAAGTTACAATTTCGGGAAGGGTGTGAAGCGAAAACAAGCGCCGTCACAGACTCAAAGTGTGAGTTTTGTTCCACAAGACATCCAAGCTCACAGCTTTGCGCGGTCCCTCTTCTTGTTTGAATGGCACAGCAAGGCTGAGATTTTTTTTTTCTTGACCGTCACGACTTTGGGTCGTGCAAAGTGCACTTTCTGACCAGACCCAAGGAGACTTGATCCTTCTTCTGTTGTAGTGGCTCGCGCAAGCTGAAACGCCAACATCTTTCGCAAGCTGGTCTGATTTGCGCCCAACTTGAATCGGACCATTGCATTCGTCAGGCCGTTTTTATTCACGAACGAGCCCACCTTGCGCAGGTCTCGTCCTTCTCTCCCGGGCCACCCTTCCTACAGCTTCTCGACGTGATCATGTTCTGCTGAGACAGCAAGGGCACATTCACACTCACAATGCGCTCATATCAGCAGCCCAAGTGGCTGCTGGCGCTGCTGATTGGAGTCATTGCGCTTGCTGGTGTTGAGGCGGCATCCTTTCGCTCCAGCAAGTTTACAGTATTTGTCCTGGAAAATGCTACAGTGGGAGCCTCGGTCGGTACCTACACGCTGGACAATACCAATGGTGACATCTACACTTTTGCGTTTAGCTCCACCCCACCGTGCCCCTTGCAAGTGGCCACCACTACCCCTCAAGTGAGCCTGGCTCAGACCCTGGATCGTGAGACCCTGGCTGATTACGAGTGCGAGCTTGTTGCCACCTCGGGCTCAAATACTGCAAGCACTCGCATTTTCGTCAAGGTATCTGATGTAAACGACAATGCCCCAGTCTTCAATCAATCTTCTTATACATGGCAAATCAGCGAGAACACGGATACTCCGACCTTCACGGCAATAGCCGCAACTGACATTGACCAGGTCATCATCACCATCGACCCTGCCACAACCCAGGAATCCTATGAGGTTGCTAATGGTGTGGTCAGGTACGCCCTGGTCAATGGAACCGACGTTTTCGCCATTGACGAAGAAACCGCCGAGATCACCATGTTACAACCCCTGGACCGCGAAGCGTTCCCTGTCTTCGTGCTGATGGTACGTATCATGTGCCCTTTTGTTTTTAATGCGGGTGGTGCCAAACATGTATCCCCCGCTTAACCCGATTGTTATTCTGCTTGAAAAACGATAAGTCCTAATTTCTCGACAAAGTGCTACGATGCGATTTCAAGCATCACACATAAAGCTCATATACATGCCTTCGCGTTTGACAGGTGGAGGCGCATGACCTCGGTAGCCCACGACAATCAGTGACACGACCCTTGACCATCACGGTGACGGACGTCAATGACAATGCACCAGAATTCTCGGAGAGTGCCTATTCGCTCAACGTCTCCGAGCTGGTCACGGCCAACACAGCCCTCCTCACCATGGGCGCCTCCGACGCGGATGCCGGCAACAACGCCGCCATCACCTTTTCCATCAGCAGCCTTGCCCGGGTCGGGGCCAACTCGGCAATCCAGCCTTTGGCGTTGGCTTCCGAGTGGCCTTTTACGGTGGACCCCAGCTCTGGCATGCTGAGCGTGTCTGAGAATGCCAGCATTGCCTCTGCGGCGGTGTTTGACTACGATAGCGGGGTACATGGTTACGTGCTACAAGTGACGGCCACAGACGCAGGCGCATCTCCCCTCAGCTCATCTGTGCCTGTGTATGTGACCTTGGTGGATGTTAACGACAACACACCTTCCTTTGCGCAGAGCACATATGAGCTCAGTGTGCCAGAGAACACGGAGGGCAACCTGCTCCAGCTCACAGCCACTGATGCGGATGCGGGTGAGCTGACAGCGCGGATTGCGTACCGCCTGCTACACGTCTATCGCGGGACAGAGGTTAATGCGTCTGCAGATGTGGTGGGAAGCGCAGCGTGTCCGTTTGCCGTTGTGGCCGAGTCGGGACTGTTGCGTACCAGCAACACGAGTATCCTGGACCGCGAGGATGAAGCAAACTATATTTTGGTCGTGGAGGCCAGCAATGACGAGGTGTCACCCATGCTTTCAAACACTACGACGGTGCTGTTGACCCTAGACGACGTCAACGACAACGCGCCAGAGTTGGAAACGCCACCCCCGGTCAGCTGGAACGTGCGAGAAGATGCCACAGACATTGAGCTATTGAGCCAGATGGTGGTTCTGGATCAGGACAGTGGTGTCAATGCACGCGTCGACATTGGCTTTGTGGGCAACAGTAGCGACGAGACGCTGTTTCGCATTGATGATGGCACAGATCTGGTATCTTTGGGCGCAAGCAACGCCACGCTCGTGGCGGTGGGACCCTTTGATTACGAAGCAGCAACCGTACATCGAGTCTGGCTCCACGTGGTTGATCAAGGGTCCCCCGTGTTGGACCGGGTGTATGCACTTGAGGTTTGGGTTTCTGATGTGAACGACAACGCCCCGAGCTTTGACACCGGGAGCCAGGAGGTTGAAGTCACGCTGGGCGAGGATGCTGTCATCGGCACGCCCGTGGCAGTGCTTGCAGCGAGCGATGTGGATACTGTCTCGGCTAGTCAGCTACAGTTTGCTATCGAGTTTGTTATGGTGGCCGATGCCAGTGCCTTGCAAGGCAATGGGCTGGGCCCCGTTGAACTGAACGCATCCAGTGCATCTCAATGGCCGTTTATGATCAATGCCACCACCGGGGCAATGGTGACCACGCAGCCGCTTGATTACGAAGCAGCCACGTCGTACAATGTGAGCATTCTGGTGTATGACAACTGCACGTCTCAGCTTGATGCGTTGGCGGACGCTGGTGCACATGAGGCAGCATGTACGGCCGGATTTTCTAGTCGGGCGTGGGTGCGAGTTGCTGTGACAGATGTGAATGAGCATGCTCCCGAGTTTGTTGGGTCGGTACCATCGCCGAGTCTGGCCGAGGATGCTACGACGGGGACTGTGGTCACGACGGTGGCTGCCACGGACGGAGATGGTTCGTTGGAGTATGGTACGGTGGTGTATAGTGTCGGTTTGGGTATGTCCACGCTGTTTGCGGTAGATGAAACAACGGGCGAGGTCACGCTGATTGGCATGCTTGATGCGGAGACATCTACGGTTGAGGCATTGGAGGTGGTGGCGTGCGACACGGCCGTTGACGTGACAGAGCAGCGCTGCACCTCCCGCTACATCAACGTCTCCGTTACCGATGTCAACGACAATCCTCCCTTGCTTGTTGGCAATGCCACCCAGACCATCTCGATTTCTGAAGCGACCTTCGTGGGCACATCTCTTCTCCACTTGAATGTAACTGATGCAGATGTTACCTCCTCGTTTCGAGACGTTGCGTTTCACACCAACTCAAGCGTCATTGATCTCAATGGCTCAACAATCGTCCTTGCGCAAGTGCTCGATCGCGAGGTGCTGGATGAGGTTGTTGCATTTGTATCCGTGAGCAACGTAGCCGCTCTTTCAGCCTCCACACCGCCTTATTTGGCTGTATTTCGGCTTACTATCCTCGTTCAAGACGTGAACGACAATGCTCCTATTTTTTATGCACCCTCCAATGTGTCCTTGCCAGAGAATGCAAAGGTTGGAAGGCGCGTTGCCTTGCTGAACGCCACAGATACTGATCTGGAATCAGAACTTATATTCACAAGTCAAAGCGGGACACCCTTTGTTGTTTCTTCCAACGGCACAGTCAGCTTGGATAGCTCCCTCGACTTTGAAGCTCAACAATCGTGGAGCCTGAACATTACCGTCTCCGATGGTGCTTTCTCCCAGTCACAAACACTGTTTGTTCTTGTGGAGGACATCAATGACAATGCTCCCGAGCCAAGCTGGAGCACAGGCAACGTTTCTGTTTTCGAAAACAATGCTTCGTTTCCACTGCCCTCGTGCAGCGCTACGGACGCGGACGCTGGTGTTAATGGGCTTGTCAGCTACAGCGTGAACAGTAACCCCTACTTTAGTATCAACACCGTGACAGGCGAACTGACCTTGTTACAACCCTTTGACTTTGAGACTGTCCAAAGCTTTGAGCTTATTTGCAACGCTAGTGATCAAGGCGAGCCTATTTTGTGGCACGCGACCAGCATCTTTTTCACCATCGTTGACCAAAACGACAACAGCCCTGTGTGCAATACTTCGAGCCCCTATTCTGTTTCAGAGAATGTGCCTGCTAACACAACATTTGCAACAGTGCTTCCGTACGACTTGGACACGGTGCACTCGTCAACATTTGAATTTGAGCAATGTAGCATGAACACCTGGGTTGGCATCACGGACGATGGGCAATTGTTTGCCAAGGAACAGGTCAAGATGGTTCAAAATGAGCGCACTGGTTTGATGGAAGAAGTACGCTACTTCTTGGATCGTGAAACCACTCCTGAGCTGAGCTTTTGCTTCTGGGTGCGCGATGCCAGCAGTACACCCCTTTCCACGATGTGCAACGTGACAATCAACGTGCTCGATGTCAATGATGAAACCCCTTCGTTTACCAATGCCAGTTTCGCTTTCTCAATCGTCGAAGAGCAGGTTAACGCAACAATCGTTCTCCCACCAGCCACGGATGCAGATGCTGGGAACAACAGTGTCCTAACTTACTCATTATTGGGCGCTCTGGCACCTTCCTTCACGCTCGACAACGGCACGCTTGTTGCCACCACTCCCTTGGATCGTGAAACACACGACAGCTTCGAGCTTGTGCTCAAGGCCTGTGACCATGGCACCGTGCCTCGATGTGGTAACACGACGTTACTAATCACTGTGACGGACATCAACGATGACATACCCACGTTTGCGTCGCAAGTGTATGATATTGCACTGAATGACAACATGGTGGTCGGCACTCAGGTCGCGCACGTGAGCGCGACTGACGCAGATGCGGGGTTGAATGGTGAATTTGAATTTCGTGTGGCCGACAATCCATTTTTGGCAGTGAATGCTAGCACCGGTGCAATAGTGCTGGTTGCATTGCCAGCCAACAACTCGGAATTTCGGTTTGGCGTCTCCGTGCTTGATCATGGAACGCCGTCTCTGCACAGCAATGCCACCTTGGTGGTTCGTCTGACGAGGTTCACGGAATTGGAGATTGTGCTGACGGTGTCAGAGGTGGCTGCCAATCAATCAGCCGTCCTGAATGTGTCACACTTGTTGCTGACACCAGACGTGGTTTACGATTTTCGCTTGAGCGGATCGAGTGACTTTGTCCTCGACGACCGCTTGCTCTTGGTCAACGCCGAACTTGATTTCCGAGCAAAAAGTTCCTACAACATGACTCTTGCCATCTGGGAGCTAGGGTCGCAGGTCGACTACCTCGCAGTCTACGTGGATCTGAGCAACGTGAATGAAGCACCGGTCTTTTCTGATGGCAATCGGGAGGTGTTTGTGGAAGAAGACACCAGTGCAGATATCCCTTTGACAATCATCCATGTCACGGACCAGGATCGTGGTGTCGATGGCAAAGTTGACTTTTCACTTTCCGGAGCTGATGTTGCCTACTTTTACCTCCAAGCGATTAACGACACAAGCGCGTTCTTGTTTGCCAATGCATCATTCGATCGTGAGACGCGTGGCAGTTATTCCCTTGAGGTTGAAGCGCGCGATCAAGCACTCACACCCCTAGCTGATCATCAAACAATCTCCGTGACCGTGACGGATCTGAATGACAATGCACCCGTGTTCAATCAATCAGAATACAGCGCCTCAGTGCCTGAGAACGTTGCCGGAAACGTGCTGGTCCAGATCTCCGTGACGGATGCCGACCAGGTTGTGACTGAGTTTGACGCTGAGACGCAGACGACAAACGTTCTCATTGGCAATGGACTTGTCACACTAATGGTGGTACAGGGACCCTGCAATGTGACTGCAAGCGGCGTTGTGGCTCTGATCGAGAAACTTGACTATGAAGTGGCGCCTGTGCAAACGTGTGTCATTCGCGCCACTGACCAAGGCGTGCCATCAAAGTCATCTGAGGCGAATGTGACCATCACGGTGACGGACGTCAATGACAATGCACCAGAATTCTCGGAGAGTGCCTATTCGCTCAACGTCTCCGAGCTGGTCACGGCCAACACAGCCCTCCTCACCATGGGCGCCTCCGACGCGGATGCCGGCAACAACGCCGCCATCACCTTTTCCATCAGCAGCCTTGCCCGGGTCGGGGCCAACTCGGCAATCCAGCCTTTGGCGTTGGCTTCCGAGTGGCCTTTTACGGTGGACCCCAGCTCTGGCATGCTGAGCGTGTCTGAGAATGCCAGCATTGCCTCTGCGGCGGTGTTTGACTACGATAGCGGGGTACATGGTTACGTGCTACAAGTGACGGCCACAGACGCAGGCGCATCTCCCCTCAGCTCATCTGTGCCTGTGTATGTGACCTTGGTGGATGTTAACGACAACACACCTTCCTTTGCGCAGAGCACATATGAGCTCAGTGTGCCAGAGAACACGGAGGGCAACCTGCTCCAGCTCACAGCCACTGATGCGGATGCGGGTGAGCTGACAGCGCGGATTGCGTACCGCCTGCTACACGTCTATCGCGGGACAGAGGTTAATGCGTCTGCAGATGTGGTGGGAAGCGCAGCGTGTCCGTTTGCCGTTGTGGCCGAGTCGGGACTGTTGCGTACCAGCAACACGAGTATCCTGGACCGCGAGGATGAAGCAAACTATATTTTGGTCGTGGAGGCCAGCAATGACGAGGTGTCACCCATGCTTTCAAACACTACGACGGTGCTGTTGACCCTAGACGACGTCAACGACAACGCGCCAGAGTTGGAAACGCCACCCCCGGTCAGCTGGAACGTGCGAGAAGATGCCACAGACATTGAGCTATTGAGCCAGATGGTGGTTCTGGATCAGGACAGTGGTGTCAATGCACGCGTCGACATTGGCTTTGTGGGCAACAGTAGCGACGAGACGCTGTTTCGCATTGATGATGGCACAGATCTGGTATCTTTGGGCGCAAGCAACGCCACGCTCGTGGCGGTGGGACCCTTTGATTACGAAGCAGCAACCGTACATCGAGTCTGGCTCCACGTGGTTGATCAAGGGTCCCCCGTGTTGGACCGGGTGTATGCACTTGAGGTTTGGGTTTCTGATGTGAACGACAACGCCCCGAGCTTTGACACCGGGAGCCAGGAGGTTGAAGTCACGCTGGGCGAGGATGCTGTCATCGGCACGCCCGTGGCAGTGCTTGCAGCGAGCGATGTGGATACTGTCTCGGCTAGTCAGCTACAGTTTGCTATCGAGTTTGTTATGGTGGCCGATGCCAGTGCCTTGCAAGGCAATGGGCTGGGCCCCGTTGAACTGAACGCATCCAGTGCATCTCAATGGCCGTTTATGATCAATGCCACCACCGGGGCAATGGTGACCACGCAGCCGCTTGATTACGAAGCAGCCACGTCGTACAATGTGAGCATTCTGGTGTATGACAACTGCACGTCTCAGCTTGATGCGTTGGCGGACGCTGGTGCACATGAGGCAGCATGTACGGCCGGATTTTCTAGTCGGGCGTGGGTGCGAGTTGCTGTGACAGATGTGAATGAGCATGCTCCCGAGTTTGTTGGGTCGGTACCATCGCCGAGTCTGGCCGAGGATGCTACGACGGGGACTGTGGTCACGACGGTGGCTGCCACGGACGGAGATGGTTCGTTGGAGTATGGTACGGTGGTGTATAGTGTCGGTTTGGGTATGTCCACGCTGTTTGCGGTAGATGAAACAACGGGCGAGGTCACGCTGATTGGCATGCTTGATGCGGAGACATCTACGGTTGAGGCATTGGAGGTGGTGGCGTGCGACACGGCCGTTGACGTGACAGAGCAGCGCTGCACCTCCCGCTACATCAACGTCTCCGTTACCGATGTCAACGACAATCCTCCAGAGCTATCTCTTTCCGCCTCGGCCTTTGTTGTCAACGAAAACCAGCTGGTTCCGAAACTCTTGTCTGCTGTCACCTTCAGTGATGCGGACGTCGGCTTTGATGCATCAAACGTTTGGATCAATATCAGTAGTGGCAGCGCTTGTCACATCAACAATTCTGGCCTGTGGCTTGTTGAATCATTGGACTATGAAACTGCAACTGCAACTCACTGTACTCTGCAGTATGGAAATGTGGCGCAGCCATTTTTTGTGCAATTCATGGACATCTTGGTCAACGTCACCAATTTGAACGACAATGCCCCACAATTTATGCTCTCGCCCTCCTCCGTTGCGGTGGCCGAGAACGCAACGGTCAATACGCTTCTCTCGGGATTCAACTTTTCTGATGCCGATGGGGATATGGTGAGCGTGCAAGTCATCAGCGGATCTGACATCTGCTCCGTGTCCACCCAGACGCAAGAAGGCACAATTCGTCTTGCAGCACCACTCGATCGCGAGACCCTTGACCAGCACATTTGTGTCATTGAGTTCACTGATGGCGTTTATGCTGGAACCGAGACCCTGCTGCTGAATGTGACTGACATCAATGACAACCGCCCCCAATTTGACAATGAAACATTGTTGTGGGCAGTGAAGGAGGAAACTTCCTCAGAGGTGTTGACCCTTCAAATTTTTGATGCTGACTTGAACTCTAATGTTACAGTGTCTTGTGTGGCGGGTCCTGCGTGTTCAGCAGTTACAGTGGCATCAGAGCCCTGGCAACTCACGCTCAAGGAAAGCTTGGACTTTGAAGCTCTCAATGAAACGACACTGTTCGGGCTGCTTGTGGCATCAGACGGCGTGTGGCAGACAAACGCATCCCTTGAGATCACGGTTCAGGATGTGAATGATAATGCGCCCTTGTTCGAGGCGTTGCAATTTAACGTTACTATCCCTGAGAATCAGGCCGTGGGATCGGCTCTGCTCGAGGTTCAAGTCACGGATGCAGATTCATTTCCGTACAATACCAGTACTCTCGAGGTGGTTTCCCATGACGTACCTTTTGCTGTTGCACCAAATGGCACGTTTTACCTAGCTCGTGCCGTCGATTATGAAGTGCAAGACTCGTACACTGTGTTATTACGCGCGACAGATGATCTCAATGCAACGTTGACCTCCGGTACAGAGATTTACGTGGTGCTTACCGACATCAATGACAATGCGCCGAGCGTTGCTCTGAGCTTGGATGACCTCTACATCTTTGAGAATATCAGTGTTGACACACGGGTGGGTCACATCAGTATCGTGGATGCGGACTCTCATGCCGTCAACCACAATAATCTTGCTCTGTCAGATTCATGCGGTGCCTTTGCTCTAAATGGCACGGAAGTCATCGTGCAAGCACCACTTGATCACGAACAATATCAGTCCTGCAACATCACGGCCACGGTTACAGATGCGACTTTTGAGGCGGCATTCAGCGCCTCTGATGAAGCTCAGCTATGGGTGATCAACGTCAACGATTTTGTGCCCGTCTTTGTGGACAACACAACCGTTAATCTGACTGTCCCAGAGAATCAAACCGTAAACAGCAGTCTTCTACTCGTCCCGGTATATGACGGTGATGCCAGCCCCTACAATGAGGTTGACATCACAATTCTCAACAACGCTGATGGCAAGTTTGCCATTCAAAACCAGACGCTGGTCTTGGTGCAACCGCTTGATTACGAAAGCGGGGATCGGGAATATCCACTGTTGCTGAAAGCTACTGACATGCAAAGCCTCTTGTTTGCCCTCAAGGTGGTCAACGTCGTTGTCTTGGATGTCAACGATAATCCCCCGATCATTACCGGACCAGATGCGCTCTCTGTTGCTGAGAATACCATGGGTCAAGCCTTGGCAGAATACCACATTGCGAGCGGTGATTCAGTCGATAGCCTTGCTGTTTCTGTCGAAGCCGATATTCGAGGCCTATTTTCAATCTCGTTCAGTGGTTCTGGTTGGAGCTTGGCGCTGGAACAGATCCTGGACTTTGAAAATCAAACCTCCCACCCTGTCACCATCCACACCTGTGACGGGTTGTTTTGCACTAATCTTTCCATTGTAATTGCCGTCGAAGACGTCAACGACAAGTTTCCCATGGTGACTTCCAACACAACGCTGAGCGTTTCTGAACATGCCACAACAGGATTGCTCGTGACACTAAGCTATGCCGATGAAGACGGTTCCTGGCCTATGCAAAACTCAACATTTAGCTTGCTTGACATCGGCGTTCCATTTGTGCTCCAGTCCGACGGCTCCTTGTGGCTGACAGGCGCGTTGGATCGTGAGACTACAGCATCCTATGCATTGACCGGGCGGGTTGCAAATGTCGATCACTCTGCAATGTTTTATACCGACTTCCCTCTCGTGATCAACGTCGCGGATGTGAACGACAATGCCCCAGTTTGCGTGGGCGTCCCCACGTTTTTTTCGCTTTCGGAGGCTCTTCCTCAAAGGTCGCTCATTGCACAGCTGAGCTGCAGCGACGCAGACGTTGGCGCCAATGGGCAACTGACATATCGCTTTGAAGAAGCCATTTCGCCTCTGGCAGTCTCTGCAACAGGCGCCCTAACCACTACGGCGTTTTTGGATCACGAGATAGCTCCGACGTTTGAGGTCAAGCTATGGGTTGTTGATGGTGGGACACCGGCCTTGTCATACTCTGCGAATATTCGCATCAACGTCACCAACGTGAACGACAATCCGCCTGTTCTGGCTGCTAGCCTCTTTAATGCCCGCATTTTGGAGAACAACTTGCCTGGCCAAACTGTCCTCAACCTGTCCGCAACGGATCGGGATGGTGATTCCCTGGTCTTCAACGTGCTCAATTCAGAGTTGTTTCAAGTGACTGAAACAGGGACAATTTCAGCTATGGAGTCGCTGGATCGAGAGCTGGAAGACTCGTACTCTCTTCAAGTGACCGTGTTTGATGGACTCTACACGGCAGCAGCCACCGTCATTGTTGTGGTTGATGATGAGAACGACAATGCCCCACGCATCTTGCACACTGAGGTGTTTATCAGTCCTGCCGGTGCTTTGGCAGCGTTCATGTACCCGATGCACTACTCTGACGCTGACGCCAACGATAACATTTCGGTGTCGTTTTTGGATGAGCTCGGGATTTGGACCTTGTCAGACGAGGGCGTGTTGTTTTTGAGTTCCTGGGCGAGCCCATTGCTCATAGCCAAGGATAACATCACGCTTGTTGTTGAGGACGGGGTGCATACAACGTCGGAGAATCTGTCTGTACTCCTGTCGGCGCACGTCTGGGTTGTGCTTTGCCGGGGCAGTAACTTTTCTGCGCTGAACAGCACGTCGGTGCAGTATGGCTTTGCCGCCTCAGACACTGCCTTTGACTTCAACTTTACAGTGCTGGCCATACCTTGGCTTCAGGATAGCAATTTGACAGCGTTCCTCGCTCAGGAGCCCATGGCCAGCAGCTTGGATCCTGCTGCCGTGTTACAGGCGCGCCGACTAGATAATGTAACCGCTGCTCTATGGCACGATGCAAGCCTATTGGGGCAACTTTTTACACCTCTACCCACGTCAAAGCCCATGTATATACCAACTGCTGCGCTCAACATGAGTGCAGTTGTCACCGACTACAGCTTTTGTGGTTTTTGCAATCGGAGCTCACCTTGGCGGGTACTGAATCAAACTGGTACTTGGGAAGTCCTGGGCTCAAATACAGCAGTTGATACAGGCGATATGGTGCGGCCCATGCAGTGCTGGTGGCGCCCTCCACACAGCCCCATGGTTTGGTGGAAATGACATTGTCACCACAGGATCCCAAGGATGTGTTGGAGTCTGATGAGAGCCTGACAGTGGTTGCACTAGTGATGCCAGCGGAGGTAACACCGCCGACCTTGCAACGTGTCGGCGGCAGTAGCTTGACTCTGAATGAGACTGTCTTGGATTTGACTACGTATTTTGCCACACAGCTGGATCGTCAGGAGGTTGCTCAGTTTGAGGCCCTCACGGAAAATATTAACGCAAGTGCCGTAGGCGTAGTGCCAGAGGCTGCTCTTGCGCAGTACCGTGTCGCTGTTTCTGCATTTAATGCCGTTATGACTACCCGACAAAGAGCCGTGCAGCAGGGGCATGGTGTTGGCTTTCTCTGTACTTCTTCAGCTGGTACTACTCCGTTTCGAGCGCTTCAATCGCCTGCCACGGGCGTCCAATCTGCCTTGGCATCAATGGCAGAAGGGTGGTTTTTTGTGCGTGCAGACACTGTGCTTGTTCTGCAAAGCAGTCCAATCATGAACTTTGATTTGGAATGTTTTGCCTGGGATGGCGCAGTGTACTCAGAAGGCAGCACTCTGACTACTCCATCAATTGCAAGTGCTCACTTGTCGAAGATCAGTCTCCATCTCTCGGTAGCCAGATTACGAGTCAACTCAGCGCCATATGTGGTTCAACCCTTTGTCTCGCTGCCGACGCTCCCAAATGTTCTGCGCTCAGTTGGCACCTATGGCCTTGCGCTGGAAGTCTCTTGTCCTTCCAATGGTCTGGCCACTGCAACGCTCGAAGCGCAGCTCTCCCTCATCTTTTCTCATCAAGTCCAGATTGAACACATGGAGCAAAATGTAACCAGGTGAGTCTTTGCTGTCGTGTCGAGGGGTGCACGTTCTGTTTTGTTTTGTCTCATCCTGTGGGTTGGTCCTCCTTAGCTGTGTTATGGTACTCTCAATGCGAGAGTATGGTGAAACCGAGCCTTTTACGTTTAAAAAAATATTTACCACTCTACTGACTGAGCAAGCGGTGGCATTGCTCTCGTCACCCGCGTTTGCGCTTGAATATGTGCGAGCCGGGCCTTTTGGTGCGTTGCTGAGGCATTGTTTTCCTGCTCTTTTCTCTTGCCTTGCTTGTATCTCCATGCCCCGGCTTTACCAGTCTCGCTTATTCCAGCTGGCGCGTAAACTCATCTATTCCCAACGTTGCAATACAGGTTTTGTCGAAGTGCTGGACCATCCGATATTCCTCGCAGAAGCAGACGATCAAGAGTGTGGGTGGAGCAACAACGATGGTGACTCGGTGGGGGCGCTCGTGGCGCGTGGTGCCCGGGATATCAATGTCGAAGATGAGCTGGGAATGGCCATCGCAGTCATGCCTAATGTCTCCAAGTTTGGTGTGTGGCAGTATCAAGTGGCGGAAAGTGCTTGTTGGTACAACGTGCCACCGGTTACGCTTGCAACATTTTTCCTCTTGCCAGCCGCTGCCCGGCTCCGTTTTGCTCCAAAGCCTTTTGCAACATGGACCGAGGACATGACCCTGATTGCTCACGCCTGGGACATGCAGTGTGGTGGAAACACGACAGCCGCGGTGGAGTCAAGCAGTGTTGTAATGTGCATTTCGGCAGACCCGTTGACCGTGCGTGCCGTCCCTCGAGCGCCAGTGACAGGAGCTGAACTTGCAGTGGGCTGCGATGCGCAGCCATTCTCATCTACCACAGCTGATGGCTGCGGTGTTTGCAATGGTGGCAACAAGGCCCTTGACTGTGCCGGCACTTGCTTTGGTGCAGCCTTTGTCAATGACTGTAGTCTTTGCGTTGTTCCCGAGAACAGCACAGCTGGCCAGGACTGCCACGGCACGTGCAACGGTACTGCTGTCCTGGATGCCTGTGGAGCATGTGCTGGAGGGACAACGGGGCTGGAGATGAACGCGGATCAAGATTGTGCGGGCACTTGTTTTGGTGCCATGTACATTGACGAGTGCGGACTGTGTGTGTCTCCCGGCTCCCCTTCGTACCTTGACTGTGCTGGGGTGTGCTTTGGAGACCATGTGCTGGATGAATGCGGAAACTGTAGCGCACCTGGTATTCCGGCGCCAGCCCGAGATGCATGTGGCGTGTGCCATGGCCACAACGAAACCTGTCTCGGCTGCGATGGCTTGCTGACAGGAGCCATGCCAGACAACTGCAACCAATGTGGCGGTAGTAACAACACCTGCTCCAAACTGGTGCGTCTAAATCCTACATTTGCCTCAATGAACGGAAGGACAGCCATCAGCGTGGAGGGGGCAGGCTTTGTGGCAGGGGCCACTCAATGTATTATCGAGACCATCGTCAACCAGCGCGTAGTCCAGCGTCTGGTTGCAATGACAGTGACGAATGCCGGTTTTGGTGTGTGCACGAGTCCAGTTTATGCGTACGCCCAAACCTTTGCGCTCTACGTTGCGGTGAATGGCGGGCAGCGCTATGGCGGGCTTGCGCTTTCGGTCTACAATGCCTCACGCGTGACCATGGCTACCAGCACAAGCTTGTATCGTATCTATGATGCAGCCCCAGTGGTCTTGACGGCGACCAACCTGCCCCTGGCCACGAATGGCGCGTGCTTTCACAAAGACCAGCGTGTCGGCGATTTAGAAGTGGTCAACAGCAGTTATGCTCGGTGTCATTTGGACGACAGTGTCCCACCCGGCGTCGGGCTTTTGAGCGTGTCGCCAACGGGTCGATTGGGTGATGCACTTGCAATCCACGCCAACTTTCGCGTTGAGAGCGCCGCACCCATTTGTGTGAGGGCCACATTGGACGTTCAGCGACGTACTTTGCGACTCGAGTTTGACCGCGCCGTTGTATTGCTTGGAGACTGCTCAGCAGCTCTGGTGGAGGCACAGGGCTCTCTCACCATTGTGGCGTGCTTGAACGGAGGTGTTGCTGCTCCTTCAACATCTTCTCTCCTCTTCAATGTCAAAATGAAGGGAAGCAGCGTTGCTGCTCGCCTTTTCTTGCGGCCCGGTGCAGTAGCAGATCGTGGCTCTCTCGCCTCGCGCACGGCATTTGGGTTTGTGCCACTGCAGGTGATTACGTCCAGCATCACCTACACGCTGAGCGGACCATCGGAGCTGGGGGCCTGCTCAACGCCGGCCAATTTCCGCGTGCACACGACCGCCGTTGGTTGTGTGACCAAATGGGATGTCAGTTCGCCGCACTTAGATCGTGCGACGGCCGCACAGCTGCAGCGCTCGCTACGTCTAACCACAGGTGACGAGTTGAACGTACAGGCGCTTGGTCTTTCGGCGGGTAGCTACATGGTGCTCGCCAGTTGCCGGGCTTACGGGCAGGTGCTGCAGGCTAATCAGACCCTGGTCGTGGCGACCAGTGCGCTGCCTCAGTTTCACGTTCAATTGGTGAGTCGCCCGCAAGAGCACCTCATTTTGGCACGAGTGGTGCGCACTGGTCGTTGTGGGAATGCAATCAGAGTGGCTGGTCGCACATCCTGGCAAGTTGTACAATGTACGGATCCCGCCTGTGCTCGCGTGGCGCATAGCCCACCGGTGATCACAGCCCTGGCCGCAGATGAGCTCGCCATTGACACAGAGGAGTTACTTATTGGGACGTTTCAAATTCTGGCCCAACTGGAAGAAACCGCCTATGGCGAAACCACCACAGCTACTGCCACATTTGTAAAGAAGGCACCTGCACCCCCTGTCTGCCCAGAAGTTCACCTGCAAGCCCCGCTTGATGGTACCTTGACAAGTTCCCTATGCTTGAGTCGCAATACCACTGCGAATTGGTTTTGCCAAGACGCTGCTGGGCGGCCATGCATAGATCAGCAGAACAATCAGATTCTTACCAAAGGCACAAGTAGTTTTGCCCTGACCAAACTAGGAACCGCCGGAAGCTACACGTTTTTGGTTCGGGCGGGTGCCGCCGAGGCTAGTTGCGCATGCCATGTAGAAGTTGGGCCAGCCTATACAGAGCCACAACTCCAATGGCAGTTGCCGTCGGTCCTTTGTGTGACTGGCGGTACCATCTGGGTTCAGGCCCGGGGCTTGAGTGGGGAACTATGGGCAACGTGCGAAGATGAAGACGGCTTGGGCTGTAGCGTCGACCCTCAACTCGCTGGTATCACGGCCCAAGATCAGACAGCGTGGTTGCTTGCTGTGCATGGTATCAATGCATCCGCGGCACGCTTGAGCATCACGCTGAGCTTTCAGAACGCTCTTCACGAGACGCAAAGCTTACAATTTCAAGTGCCAGTGCGTACGCCATGGTCTGCTCTGTCCTTGACTCCGATGGGCACAGCAGCCAGTGGCGTTGTCAATGAGTATGACGAATTTTGCACACGCTTGAGTGGAGTCGGTGAGGCCAATAGCTTTGTCGTCGCCTGGTATCTTAATGGCAATGTTTTGGTGGCCATTCGAGACACAGCCGCAGATCTCTGTTTGTTGGCGCCGCCCGCACTGACTTCCGTGAGCGCGAGGCTCACAGACACGGTGTCTGGTGCCACCGCGGAGGTGAAACTCTCTCTGCAAACTCGACCTTTGAGCGTGGCCAAGCGAGCAGCTTTTGCTCGAGCCTTGCAAGACAATGCCACTGCAGCGCTAGCTGCCCAGGACTCTGCAATGGTGCGCCAGGCCATGACAGCCTTGGTACTTGAGGCAGACGATGAGACGGATGCTGCCAAGACAACAGCCTTGGAAGCGGTTCTCTTGCCGTTTTTGGACTTTGTTCGCCGCGGATGGCGTAGCGATTGGATTGATCTGGCCCGCTTAACCGTGCTACGGGCGCTCGATCGCGGCGTTGTTTCCAAACGCGACATCGGCTCGTTATTAAGTGGCGTGCTGGAGCCAGTGCGCACCACCCGTTCGGTCATGACCTCATATGCACCTTTGAGTACATTGGCTGCAGCAGCGTTGCTCGAGGCCTTGGTCCCCCTCTATGAGGACGGTCAAGATGATGGTATCCTTCCCATGCTTCACTTCTATGGCCCCACATCGGAGCTGAGCACCGTTGCCGGCCCTGAGCTGATCCTTGAGCTTGTTCCAGTCCCGAGCACTTTGCCTTGGACGGTGCCTCTGCCATCGAACACCACTGATGCACCCTGGTCCACCGCGATTAACGTCACCATCAATGCTACATCGCCAAGTGTTGTTTGCGACGGGTCCTCATGCAATGTGCAGCGCTTGGCGTTGAGCCGGTCAACGTCCGCGTCGTTTGCGCCTGCCGGATATGTTCTGATGACCCACGCCGTTGGCCTATCGTGTGAGGCAGATGTTGCAGCAATGGTTGACTTTAACGCTTGGGGCATGCCTGGTGATCAAGTTTGCGCGTCACAGAGTGGCGCTTTGAGTGCACCAAGCGGTATCAATGCGGCGCAATGCCGCCTTGTATGTCAGGCGGGCGATTTTGTGCGCGTTGCGTTGGCCGTGCCCATGGTCGCGACCACAGCTGCATCGACTAGCACGGTGGGAGGTTCTACAGGTGAGGCATCGTCATCAAGTACATTGACACCAACATCATCAACCGAGTCCACGTCAACACAACTCCCAAGCAGCGTTACGGCGACCAGCACTGCTGCAGGATCTCCAAGCACAACCTCAGCTCAAGAAGCAGCTTCCTTCAGAAATCCTGAACTGGCCAGCTCGAGGAGCCTCGGTGCCAATCACGAGGGCGTGCGCATTCTCATTGGCGTGGGCGTTTGCTTGGCCGTTGTTGGTCTCCTTGTTCTACTGATTCGCAATCGCGGGAAGCCATTAGCACCAGAGGGCACAAATTTCAGCATCGAACTCGTTGACGGCGGCAAGCCTCGTCAGCTAGGCTCGCTCTTTCTTCCTGAGGGCAGCACCATGTTTGATGCGCGTCGCAATCTCTTGTCATTCCTTCTCCAAACCACGCAAGAAATCCCGCTCTTTGTTTTCTTGACAGCCGACGGAAATATGCTGCAAACCTCTGACGAAGGCTCCCTCCTAGCACAGGACCTTTATCCAACCGGTCCTATGTACATCCAGCAAGTGGGTGCCTCTAACCAAAATAGTAGTAGTATTGCATCCCCCCCTCCCCTAGCTCATAATATGAGCCTGTATGATTCGAGCTCAGAGGAGTCTGGATCCGACGATGAGGGCCCTGGTCGCTGGTCGCAAGCGGTGCCCCGCCAACTGGCAACGTCGACAGCATGAGTCGTCGCGTCTCGTCTTTTTGGATGTGTGCGTATTTTTTATCGTTTGATTTGTGGCTTTGAGACACCAAACTAATTGCCTGTTCTTGAATCTTTAATTTCTGACCCTTCTCCGTTTGGATGTAAAGCCAGCTCGTAATAATTGACTCAAGCAATCGACTGTCGCGTCGCTTGTTGGAAGACACTCTTGCCTCTCAGCCGGAGGCAGTTGACATAATTCGACATCTCATCAAAATATTCAAAAGTCAAATGTCTAAGCTTTCATTGGGCACCCACAACTGGCCATGCACGGGCGCAGACGTCGTAATTTGAACCGCGGCAGTGCCTATATTCAACCATCTAAGACATTCGGGAGACATGGCCGTTGAGGAACAGACACGTGATTGCAAACGCCTCCGGCAGAGTTCAATCCTTCGTTGCTAACCTACCGCGAGGATTTAGCTAGCGCGCTTGCGGCCTCACTGTCGGCCATGACAAATTGAGCCATTAAACTTTCCTTGCGCGCTATCTCAAAATTGATTGGTGGGTGTCAGTCGCCTGTGCTTAGTGCTAGAGCTTGGAATTGCCATATTGCAAAAAAGTCAAAACATACGTTCGAGAGTGATGAGAGACTGGCTAATTTGGTCGTCTGCATGAAGGCATTGGAGTATATCAGCGTCCGTGCAGTCCAAGGACAGATCTTGCAAGACCACTGTCGTCAGGTTGGATGCCAGCTGCGCGCCAACACGCAACTGAATGTCAGGTGCAAGCTTATTGAGACAGGCGTCCCCTCACGGCGCTGGACCCACCGCAAAGTCTGGTACCAGCTCGCAGTCGAATCCTTGTTCATCGATTTCATTCTTTGCCATCAAAGTGTCCTCGCGCCGTGTGAAATTCAGGTATGCTGCACACGGTTCCAATGCACTCGTTTTCAGAGTGAGGCCAACAGGCAAAGCAGCCAAGCAAGCAAAAATGCGAAGGACTGCGTCGACACGAGCCAATCGCTTTCTCACGAATAAAGCAAGCAAGGCCCCGCGGTGGGAGAATTATGAGACAAACCAATGGTCGGGCCTTCCTGGCGCAGGATTGAAACTCGCATCAAACTCTTGAATCGTTGGCACAATGCAGCCAGCTGTTGAACGGTAGAATAAGCCTGTTGGCATTGAATAAAAAAAATAAACATATTTCATAAAGAGAAAACAAAATGAGGGCGCAACCAGTGCCAGCAATCAATCGGATCAATGGCGTCTCATACAGGAAGTTTAGTGATGCACAAGGTGGTGGCGGTTTGCAAGTTGAGCTTATGCTCCAGGCTTGTCAAGCCTGTGGTGGAGAATCACAGTCCGGTGAGCGTTGTGTGTGATACCGACTGAGCCCACAGCTCAGCTTAGCTCAACGCCGGGCGCATTGGCTGCTCAGGGCTCCATACCTCCCGTTACTGTAGCCACGGCGTGCGGCCCCTGAAAGCACAAGGGCGTGCGTGGCACGAAAATGAGTCAAACATGATGCGCCAGCAGGCGTGCAAGTGGGCGTCAAGACAAACGGCTTGGGACCATCCACGTGAGCAGCAAACGCAGTCTACCCACCGCGTTGGAGCTAGCTGGCGGACCAGGGCTTGTGGTCAGCCGGGCATTGGTAAGAAACTGGTTGGCCGCCGCAGCGGCTTGCTTTCGCTGTTTTTCAATGAGGGTTTGCTTGTTGCCACCCTTGGCTCTGGACTTGCGCGGCATGCTGCAGCCCCGTGGTCAACATAGGCAAATCGCACAACCCCTCGTTGAATGTAAAAACCCACTTTTTACGCCTGCATGGCCATACAATAGCCAGAGGTACCCACGCGCCGGTGAAAAGTTGTCCTGCCGGAATGAAGACGGTGCAGAGGCGAAACACCCACCTACACACGCACCTACACAGCCATCCAGGTGGGCCACCAGCAGCTCGCCGTACAGGCAGGTAAAACAGTCACGTCCTCCTGTCAATGATCATGCAAGGAAGAGAGAGAGAGAGAGAAAAAACAAAAAAAAGCAGCAGGTTCTTATTTTGCTGACATTCGGATTACCCGTGGCTCCCTTAGGGACCGCTCAAGGTGTGAGGAAGCGTGTGAGATTGTTCGGTTGCCAGACGACAAGAATGGCTTTTGACGACCCAGCTTACCGTTCGCCGGCCTCCGAGTCCCCAAAGTCAGCAACAACACCAGAAAGACGAGACGTCTTCAGCAGCTTATTTCAGCACGATCTGGCATGCTTCTCCACTGGTGGTGGCACCTGGACGTACATGCGATGGATGGATGTATTTCAAATGAAGCGTGGCTGAAAAGTAGACCGTAAGCCAGCAGCGGGCTTTCTTTGTCTCTCGATACAAAAGACTTCGTTCGACCACTGCCGTGCATATAAGGTTCAATTCAAAGATCGATCATCGTCGTTTGCGTGAAACCAGCTGCAGAGACTGATTTCGATCTTTCCTAGGTGTCTGGGGCCAGAAAACGAGTTTTGAAGGTCGGCGTCCTCCGGGCCTCCGGCCCAAACCTAAGCGCGATAGCTGCACTGTGCGCAAAGTTACGGCAATTTCAAATTAGGGTGGGTACGCCTCCCGATTCCCGGTCAGGCAGACATTCTCGAAGAAGGCTTTTGTCTGTTCGGGCACTTGTAGGCAGGGTCCCATCGCATGGGCCAAGTACGCGGCCCATGACTGGATTTTAGTGGCCGGGATGGAGCTTAGGGATATGATGACAAGAGGAAATCCCTTCATATCTGCCTGAATCCGTTCCGGGATGGTCTCTTGCGCGGCCCCCAAGCGGGGCTTGAGCAGCTGCACCCGGCAAGTTGGGTCCGAGGCTAGCGACTGGCGCAGATACACCACACCTGAAGCACTGGCATGAAACTCGAAGTGGTGGGTCATTGCGATCCTGGAAATCCCCTTGTTCACAAAATACTGCGCCAGTAGCGCCTTCCAGTTGACCCAGTTGACCTGGCGCCCAGGTCTACCTGCAGCTCGCCTCCACCGGCGCCATCATGTTACGGGGCGTCATAATGGCTCAGACCTTCGGCTCGAGGTCAAAGTGTGCGTCGCAGTAATTCTTCGAGTGCCCAACGACCATAAAGCGGAGTTTGATAATGTCGTTGAGGCCGATGAGCACGTGCCAGGCCAGGTACTGCATCACGAAGCGGTTCTTATTGTGGCCGGCGTAATTGTCCGCGTGTAGGACAGGTTGCAAAGCGCCGTGCACGCGCGGATTGTCCAGGCTGTCGTGTAGCATGGAGCACACCTGAAGGTCGTCCTGCCCATGGGCCAGTGATGCTCCACCAGCGTGTAGTTGATCTGTGTCGAGGAATTGCCGATGGCAACACGAAAAAGGCTCCCCTCAAGGCCCGTCAGGAAGTACATCTTTCCAGGCTGATCGCGCATGCGAGGCAAGTGCACCTTGTCAGCAAAATCAAGTTTACGCGCACAAAGTTGGCCTGCTGTGTCGGTGTCGCGCGCCGCAAAAAGTCGTACAGGCCCCTCGCCTCCCGCGCGCGGACGCGATGAGCCTGCAAGGTGACCCTGGAGGCCTCGTCGTCATGTTCTTTGATACGGGCTTTCAACTCCGCGCATTTGTCGCAAATGTCGGTGCCAGCCTTTCGAACTCTCAGCGTAGGCATATCTGGGGCCCACCGCTGAAGGAAGGTATTGGCTCAATGGCACCCCGGCCGGCCGACCAGCCTCGGCAGGGCGATCATTTTGCCAAGCCGAAGCCATGACTGGGGAGGCGCTCGCGTCTGCCTCGTAGACAGACTTCTTCCTGGTGTCAGACAGCAATAGGTGTACGGGTTGGTCTCGCTGGCTGCCGCGCCCCGTGGGCAGTGACCGGCAGTTGCAGTGAGGGTGAAGAGGGCAGCTCGCACAAAGGCGGCACGCTCAGCCGCGGAAGCGCCGCAACGCCTGGTGCGCCAACCTCCTCGTCGTCACCATTGTCAACCAGAGTTCGTCCAGGTCGTCCTCTGGTACGGCATCGTACTGGGCAGACAAGGCCGCGCTTGTCCGCAGGAGGAACAAGAATGTCATGCTCGCCATGGTCTGGTGGTGCCAACTTTCGTCTCGTTTCTTTGATTTGGTGATCATTTTTTTGTTACTATCGACCCCCAATGCGAGCTAACTCTGTGCTCGCACCTGTAGTAGCCAACACACAGGCACTGTGGCTGATTGCAAGATACAACCTACATCCTCGGGTTCACACAGCCTGTTTTATGCAAGCACTTGCATGAGCGATACGTATGCCAACTCGAGTGTGTAATTCTGCACACAAACAGACGTATTCCCGAGTGACGTTTGGCACTGATCGAGTCCGACTCCGATTGATTAACTACAGTAGAGGGTGTGTGTAATGTCGTGCTGACCATGGACACATACATACAACTCCGACAGCTTCACACAGAAGCATGAGGAGTACTATTTTTCAGTGGCGTTTGGCTCTGATCGACAAACCAGAGTGTGTAACGCGGTGCTGACCGTGAGTGGCGTTTAGCACTGGTGAAGCTCTCCTTCTTTGTCACGAGAGTTGATCTGCTCTCACAGGCGCATTTTTGTTTTGGCTGGTGCTTTGCGCCAGGACTTGAACCAAAAAAACGCGTTTGATCACAAGGACTTCAGCTCAGCTTTGCTTCGCAGGCGCTCCCAAGGTTGCCCACCCCGTCTCCGCACACCACAGTGGTGGTGCCGTAAAGGCTTCCGCTTACGCCATGGCGCAAGCTTCCGAAGATGATGCACAGTTTCGTGGCTGGGATTCTGTCACCACGGGTAGGTAAGCGCCATGTGTGCACCCCAGTACTGTTGTCTCTTCTCAAGCAACCCCACCTGCTGTGGTAATGACCTCATCTTGGCGCTTCCGTTGCTGCTGTCTCGTCACTCTCAGATGCTGAATCGGTTGTGTCACAGCAAGCGCGTCAGTTCTCAGACCCCTGGGATATCGATGGCCTCATTGCCCTCATTGGACAACAACTCGACAGTGCCCGCGCATCAACTTGCCAGGGGAGCTCTCCTCAGCCAAATTCGGTTCAGCAGACAAACGTTGTCTTTTGCTTGGGGGACACCTGTGCGGCAAGACAACCACCATTCTCTGGTTGAAGGGCGCTGGCTTTACCAAAAAAGATTACAAGCTTGTCATGGTCGCAGGACAACACGTCTGCGGTGGAGCTGTCATTGGCGGTGGTTGGAGGTCCACGACCAATTCATTGACCTTCCACATGGCTGGTGACCTACAGTTTGTGGACACCCCTGGCTTTCGCGACACACGTGAATTTAGCCAGGAGGAGCAACGGGGCATGAACAAGCAAGGCTGGGCCAATGCCTTTGCTCTGTGGTTCTTGGTGAAACGGGCTACAAAGGCGCGTCTTTTGATTTTTACGAATTTCAAGTCGAATATGAGCAGTACTGCTAACATGCAACAACACCTTGGGGCCATTTTATCCTTTGTGCCTAACCCCAGTGCGGTCGGTAGCAGCATCCTTTTCGTCTACACGCATGCTGAGAACACAACGAGTGCCAAAATCATTGAACGCTGCGAGAAATTTTGACCGCGACTGAAGCCAAGGCGGCCTTCCGTGACATCATGGTGACCATGATCGAGCAGCTGCAGAGACTGTTGTGCTGCGGGCCGCAGCCCAGGAGTCCCGTGATCTCAAAGAGCGGCTACGCGCGCTCGAGCCCTTGAACGTAGGCACAATGACCAACCTCGGGGCGCCTCTGTCCAAAACGGAGCTCGCACTGTTTAATCAGCTTCTAGCCAACGCAGTCCAAAAAGTGCAAGAGCAGCTCTCAGAGTTGAATATCAAAGTGCAAGAGCAGCCCACTGAGTTGAAAGTTGACTTGACCTGCTCTGCAAGAACAACGCAAGCCCTTCGCTGGTTGTCAGAACTCGTGCCAGAAAGTACCGTCGAAGAAAAATACGAAAGCGCCATCCAACTCGTGAAAGATGATATGATGGCGCACCATGGGGCGTTTCAGAAAGCTTTGAGGGGGTTCAACTATCAACACGCTCTTCAGCGCTACCGGGCCGTGCAGACCTTTGATACGTTTGCAAGGCCAGCCGAGCACTCGTATTGGTCTTGCTTGCCAGCAAGTGTAGCGAGCAGTGCGGCAGATCTTGCCCCTCCCTCATTCAATGAGACACCAGGTACCGAGCCTTCAGCCGCTCAGCACAAGCCTGCTGACCCTGATTTGGGTTATAAGGCGATGATGTCGCGTCTTCAGACAGCATTGCAGGAGCACGGAGATCAGCTACTGGCCAATTTGGCCAAGTTGCACAAAAATTGCTTTAGCGCGGACGCGAAAGATGAGTTGAACCTGTGGAAAAGGTTTTGGTACAATGTGGGCCCACTGCAAATATTAAGCACCAAGCAACTAAATGAGCTCAGCCACCAACTGCGCGAATGCGGTCTGAAGCACGTCACCGAGATGAAAAACATTTGCGAAGAAAAGCCGGCCATGGACATGGACCCCAAGGCCTTGAACACGCTTGTGGATCATTTGGCCACATTGCAGCGCGCAAAAGAGTTTGAGGATTTTGAAATTGATTCCAGCTCGATGCTGGAGTCAGCCGAGACGTCAGTGGAGAAGTGGCAAGAAGCATTTTCCAAACAGGCCGATTCCTTTCTAGATGATGGCCCCTTGGACTTGGATTCTGATAATGCTGTGCGCAAGCTGGGAAGTATATGCACTATCCTTCAGAGCTTAGCTGCGCGCCCCGAAGCCCTTCACCTGCCCCCATCAAGCGGTGAAAAAGCCCATAATCTTGGCGCGAAAGCCAAGACGGTTGTGCAAATTCAGGTTTTGATGCCTTTGCAAGAGCTCTTGACGCCGAACAACGATCTGACCATCAACAGCGAGACAGGCCCAGCTGCTGAGATTGCGTTGAAGAAGCTGAACAAGCTGAGCAGTTACGCACCGCTAAGATCCATGCTGGAAACCGCCCATGAAACTACAAACCTTGTTTGTCACGCCATTGAACGAAGGCTAGAGCAAGTCAGTCAAGATCTGGAGGACCTCAAGCAAGGACAATTCAGCAAGGGGTTCCAGAAGCTAGCATCTGCGCTGCAGCAGATCGAGTGGACCTGCTGCCTTGATGACCAACTTGAGGCTTGGGTTGGCAGCCGTGTTGGGGCATCCTTACCAAACAGCGGGTCTTTGATGACACAGGCCAAACAAACTCTCGAAGATACTCTTAGCAAGCACTGCGACGAGATTGTCGAGGGCCTCAAGCCAGAGACTTTGAGCATTCCAGATGGTGCATTGCAGCTGTTGGCGTACGGCCGGCCGCTTCGCACATGGTTAGCTTCAGAAGGCATTGACCAAGCATCTCGTCGCGTACACGAAGCCTGCACCAATCTATTTTCAATGACGTGTCTGTGGCGACCAGTGCCAGGAACTCACACTCCCTTCGTGTCATGCACGAGCAGCTTATGAATTTGAAGAGCAAAGTTGCAAACCTTCAAGCTTCTGCCTCGCAATCCTTGTTCGACGTGGACTGGACTATGATGAAGCGGCAGTTGAGTGCAGCCGGTGACCGTGTGCAGAAGTCTTTGGATGCACACCACTTGCACAACGAAAAGCTATATTTCTGGTCCATCGTCGCCTTCGTCCTGCTCCTCGCTGATGCGGGACTGTGGTTCTGGCAGTACGTACCTTGGCTCATTAGGATATTTGATACCAGACTTGTCGTTTTGCATCCTATTTGTTTCCTGTGATGTGCGAGCTTCTGCAACGATTGATGTGCATCTCTCCTCCACGTCCGGTTTCTTGCTGTAGGCCGCACGAAATGTTTTTTACCGATCGTGCTTTGCAAACTGCGTGTATCGAGGGCGATGTACAGCGTGTCGGCTCCATTCTTGATGATGCTGTGTATCGGATGGCACACGACGACAAGGCTTTCATGAGGGCTAAGTCCAATGCTGAGAGCTACCTGGTCGGGGCTGTACGTGCCATTGAGAACCGACTTCGTAACGTTTTGAGAAGCGACCCACTGGAAGCAGAGGCGCTAGATATGATGCAGGCCCTCACCCAAGATAAGAACATCTGTCGACACTTGAGGCGTCTGGTTGACAAACACAACTTGCAATCTCTGGGTCAGGCGCTTCTTGCGACGGAAAAGGCTTTGGAAAAAGCCCTCATGCATTTGATCGGAATTTTACTTCAACGTCTTAACGTCAGCCTCCAACGCCGAGTTTTATATTGGCTAATGCAGAGTTTCAATTTCTTCGGGCTTGGCCAAGTTGCCGGGTTGATAAGTGTCGTCTGATCCGACGCATAAGCAACACGTCGTCCTACGTCATTCAAGTCTTGGGCTTGTTTGAGCTGTTTTGCATCGCGGAAGCGGATCTCAGCTCTTGGCAACAGCTCCTCTCCACATTTGTTCGACGCGGTCCCCTTCATAAGCGGCTTATGCTGGAACTGCAGACGGGCCATGGCAAGGATCCAGGTGGGGTTTGCCGGCGTCATCTTTTCTCTGCATGGCTTTGACGTCTCTACGGAGTGCTACAGTCCAATTCTCAACAAGTCCAATTCTCAACAAGTCCAATTCTCATCAAGCGGGATTTCGAAGCCTTTCACTGGTTATGTTGACCTTGTCGGCGTGAGGCAGCACATACGTTACAGCACCCTCATTGACGTGGCCCGTGCCGAGATTAACAAAGATGCAGACAGAGATTCAGACATTCGTGAGGCCGCACGCCATGTGCTTAGGACCGGCCAGCTGCTGCCGGCTGGTCATGAACTTCGTCATGCTCTAGCCCACAGTTTGTTGATGGCAGTAACGCGATGAAGAAGTTTTGTGATTGTTGTATCGATCGCGTGGTGTTCATAGTGCAGTGTGCTGTGCGGCGTGTGTTGCATGGCATCCTGACTTGAATTGTACCCATGCCATGCTCACCTCAAACCACGTCCTTTGAAATCAACGGGTCAAGAACAAGCCCCAATGTTCGGTTGCCCTGATGAGATTAACAAAGCCAACAAAGATGGCATGAAATGTGTTGTTTCCTCTTCCCAGCGTATCGGGCCTACAGATGAGATTCGGAACGTTGACGGCTTTGTGAGTCGATAATAATTGAGATGAATGCCGGGGAAGGTACAAAGAAAGACGTTGAATTGATTGGGTTGGGCACGCGCAGATGACAAGCTGTCGGATGCGAAACTCGGTCCATACTCAAGCGTCGCGCACGAGAAAACGCACGTGTGCGAACATACACCTTGTATAAAAGACGAGAAAAAAAAACTTCTCAATCCCATCTGCCCGTGAGCTGTGTGTGACACGCCGAGGAGATCCAAACTGTCATTGACCTTTGCTATAGCAGCAAGGGCTGACGGTTGGTGACGAGGTTGCTACATTCGAAGCAACTTAAAGCTTCAATTGAGTTTGAAAGGGTCCTCAGTTGACTCGTTGAGCTCCTGGACGTCTTGCTCCGGGGCCCTTTGCTCCTGGGCATCTTTTGATGCTTGCTCCTCAGCAAGCTCGGCAATGGCCTCGATTTTTGCCTCTTGTGCCACGGCAGCAGTCTCGATTTCTCGGCGAAACTGTTCAACATAGCGCTGTGCACGATAAAGAGATGCAGGGGATGCGGCATCAGCACAGGCCATGGCTCAAGCATGCGGCCACGGTGCAAGTCAAATTGGATGACCGACCTTGCTGAACACATGAATGTAATAAGAAGCTCCGTTGTATAGACACTACAAGTCAAAGGAGGTGTGCGGGACAAGTCATATGAGAGCGAAGACGCGTCGGGCCGCGTCCAGACCATCAGGATGATGGACTGGGTGTAGCGTGCACAGGCAGTTTGGCAACTCTAGGCCGGCTAGCAAGAGGTCTCTTTGTAAAAACCATGAACCTACCGCGATGTAAATGAAGAGGAGGAAGCCCACGTTGACCAGGTAGTAGTCAAAATACAGCTAGCGTGGTGTAGCAACGGAAAAAAAGGCGACGCAGTGAGGTTTGGATCGAGCATGAACAAGTGCTTGCGCAAGTAGGATTAAGCCACCTCAGAAGGCCACGGCAGTCGACGCCTCGAGCGCACACCTTGCATGGCAGAATGGTAAAGATGGTAAAGATGAATTGACAAGCCACAAAGATGAGTTTGGTTTTCATGCTTTCACTGTCAAAGTTTTCATCCGGCTTCATAATGCCAACTGCTCGACAGAAGGTCTTGGCCACTGCAGCCATGCCGCCAGGGGAGCGGGCGAGCCAGCGGAGCGAGGTTTCAAGCGCCTGGTCGGTACGTAGGTGATCGGCATTGAGCACCTCAGTGTACCAGAGATAAAACACTTGCCAAGCAGCGTAAAAGGCCAGGGGATAGACGAGCCAGTCCATGAGACTGAGCTGACACATCTCCAGCTCAGGGTTGGCATGGCATTCGGTGAGTTCGTCCCAGCGCCACGAGAAGCTGACGAGCGCGGGGAGTACATGCAAATACACCGAGGTGGTCTTGTCCAAAGAATGGAACACCATGGAGTTGCGCCACGCCACGATGGCGATGGCAAGGGGCTACGTGTAACGCCAGAGCAAAGGGGGAACAGGTCAACGCAAAGCAAATTGAATAATGTACAAATGCAGGCCATGCTACTTTTCAGACGTGGTTGGCGGGTGACGGCACCCCAAAAAAAAGATGGATCACATGCATGGTTTGCGTAGCACTGCCAAGCTGATTCTGATCCAGCGAGCGGATATGACTCACGCCGTGGCCCATAACAAACGAGATGCGCCGGGCGGTGGCTCCAAACACCGAAGGCAACAAGATGCACAGCATGGTCAGCCAGTTGAGGAAGTAGCAAAAGTCGGCAAGAAAATACTGTAAAATGTGGCAACGAGCGATGTTGTGGAGAACGTGAGTGCGCCAACAAGGCACGGGGAAGAATACGAGCAACCCCACCCCACCCTTTGCTCTCGATCTGACGCTTCTCTTTGCTTTTTTTTTCTTTCGTTTTCGTTCATCTTGAGGTGTGAAAGAGCACGCAAAGGCAGGTGAGCGGGATGGCAGGTGTCACAGTTCATACCTGCCAACCGGCTTTGCGGTAAAGGAACCAGCGCGCCATGAGAAGTGGGAACATGAGGGCCACGTAAAAGTAGGGCAAGTAGCGGGTTTCTTGAAGAAGAAAATACTCAAGCGCCAGCATGGTGGAGACGCCTGCCACAAATGAGAATTTGTCGATGGTTTTCACAACAGGCTCCTCCTTGACAAAGTCGCGAACTCGTTTGTGAGGGTTGCCAGTAATCATCTTTCGGCGCAAGGAGTTTAGATTGTTTGAGGACAAGCGCTGGCGCATCTTGTCCTGAGAAGTGGCCAGGCGCTTCCGGAGGATTGTGAGGCGGCGCATCATGTTCACCGACAAGGGCGCCGCCCCAAAGTTATCTTGTTGGGTGGCAAAATCCAGATCCGACATGAAGTTGCGAATATCCTCAATAACCTGCGAGGCCGATTCTTGGCTCAAGCCCAGCGGTGACTCGGCCGGGTCGGCCGGGACCGTGCTTTCAGAAGCCATGTCGCCGGTTCACGAGGCCACAACGACGCCGCCGCTTGGTGTCAGAACGTCACTGGAGCTGCTCGGCGGAGGATAGGACAAGCGCGAAGGCAAGTGGGCGAGTGAGCGAGTGAGCGAGTGAGCAAGGGAGCAAGTGAACACGCCAAGGCCGAAACAACCACAGAAGAAGATCAGTGCAATCCCGCCCGAGCTTGGCGCAGAGAGGAAGAGTCCAGTCTCCGGTTTCTGACTCGCCCAGCTCAGCCTGCATTCAACTCCGCCCCCAGCACACACCTTACGCCTCGCGGGATCTATCCCATCAATCTATACACCACCAGCACCCAGCGTCACCACCAGCTGCAAGCAAAGACCCCCAAAAATAAAATAAAAAAAATAAAAATCAAGAGAGAGAGAGAGAGAGAGAGAGAGAGAGAGAGAGAGAGAGAGAGAGAGAGAGAGAGAGAGAGAGAGAGAGAGAG